AAATTATGTAACAAAATTTATTAAAAAAAAAAAAAAAAAAACATTCTAAACAAATTTCAAAACGAATTTTGTAAAAAAAAATATGAATAAAAACATTCTACAAAAACTAAAAAGTAAACTGTACGAAAATAGAATATCAAAAGAAAATTTCTTGCAAAATTACAAAAAAAAAGTTCCTAACTTAAATTCTATTTGCACACTAAATACAATCATAGAAAAAATTCCAATTGAAATTTACAAAAAAAAAAAACATAGAATTACAAAAAATATCCAAAAAAAATTGCAAAAATAGAATTATTGAAAAAACATCTAGTTCTCCCTAAAAAGCAATTAAAATATCATAGAAGAAATAGCTATTCAAATTGTCAAAAGAATAATTATATATACACAAATATTAGGAAAATAAAATATAAAAAAATGATAAAAAAAAGATTTTTTTTAAATTTGCAACCAAATAATTAAGGAAAAAAAATATTTTTAGGAAAAACTGTCTAAGATGAAATTCAAAATCCAAAAAATATCTAAGCGGATTTGCAAAATTCTAGCAAAATTAAAAAAAAAAAAAATAATTAAAGCAAAAGAAATTCTGGAAAAATAAACAAAAAAAAATTTTAGAAAAGGAATTCTGAAAAAATTATCAAAAAAAGCAGCTTTAAAAAACTATAAAAAAAAAACCTCTCGAAAATTACGCAAACTAGAATAGTAGAAAAAAAATTCTAACAAATATAATATATATATAATATAGGAACAAATTTTGAATCTCTCTCCAATAAAAAAGCAACAAAAACTCATAGAATAAATATCTATTAAATATGACAAAAAAAACGAGTTACAGATAAAAAAATATTGGAAAAATTAGCAAAAAACAGAAAAAAATTTCTTTAAAAATTAGCCAGAAAAGAAATTGTAGCAAAAAATTAAATATAACTTTAAAAAAATAAATTTAAAAAATAATCAAAGGAAAAAGTGTCTTAGAAGAATTCCAAAAAACAAAAATTCTCTAAGCGGATTTGTTCAATTTAACAAAATTAAAAAAAAAAAAATTATAAAAAAAAAATCTGGAAAAATTAGCAAAAACAAAAATTATAGAAAAAGAATCCTAAAAAAATTAACAAAAAAATAATAATTATATAAAATAAATTCGGCTAAAATGTACATTAAAAGCTTTATAGAAAAAATTACTAACGAAAATTACAAAAAAAAAAGAGGAATTATAGAAAAAATATCTAAAAAGATATGCAAAAAAACACAAACAAAATTTCCAAGGAAATTTACAAAAACGAATTAGAGTAAAGAATTCTAAAAAGATGCAAGTTAAGAAACAACAAAGAAAAAATGTTAAGAAACACCCAAAATTAAGAAAAAAAAATATTAAAATTTAGGAAAAGTATATCAAAAGCCGTCTTTTAGATTTATAAAAAAATCATTATAGAAAAAAAGTGTGCTTTAATTTCGCTCCTGAAAATTTTTGAAAATATGAGTAATGAAATGCTAAAAAAACTCTAAAAAATTCTACTTTTTTAAAAATATTTTAAATGGAATTCAAAAGTGGGTTCCAAATAAATAGTTCCGAAATTTATGTAGCTCTTAAATATACTATCTAATTCTAACACAATACAGCTCATAAAATTTACATTAATTTATTTATTTTTTTAATTACTATTTTTCCTTAAGCCTTTGAGACGCTCCAATTACTTAAAAAAAATATTTTTTTCAGTAAGTATTTAAAAAAAAAACAATAATTATATTTTTTTTAATTTTAAATATTGTACAAAATTTATTACTGTCAGAATTGCTAGCAAGATACTCTTAAATTTTTCACAAAGCCTTTAAGGCAGTCCATAAACTCTTAAAGCTTATATTAATTATTAATCTATATGCCCTTGAGGCAATCATACCAATCTTTTTTTTTATTTTTCTTTTGTAATTTTTAGACACTGTAAAATGTTTTCGGCATTTTTCTTAAAAAAAAATTTATATTTAATTTCATTTCGTAAGTAAAAACGAAACCAAATTAGGTAACTGTAAACCTGCTACAATAGTTATTAATAAATTCATAAATCACCATAATCACGTAAATGCCGGTTTATCGCGCGTAATAGTAGATTATAAGTTACAAATAAAAAAAAAAAACAAGTTGGCAATATATTTAAAAATAATTTGTTGCACAAAAATTATAGTTTTTTTTACAAAAGCAAAATGTTTTAAATATTTTGTCCTTTTCGTGAAACCTTTGAGGATTTTTTATTTATTCCTTAATTATTACCTCTATTTCGTTTAAATTATTTTTAATCAAATTGTTGTTTTTGTTGTTGAGTCACAACACAGTAAAACAGTTAAACACAATTTGTAAATTTCCTGAGAACGAAAAGAAAATGTACGAAATTATAAGCAATTGCAAACCTGGCAAAAGTATATTAGTTATCGATATCGATTGTAAGCATACATTTCCTGGTACAATGTTGTCGCCATACATTTCCTAGTAGTCGAAGAGCGGGAACTTGAAAAAACATGAGGCTGGCCGGAAATCGCTTCAGCAGTTATACAGCGCGAATTATATATATGTATATATATTAAAAATAATATACAATACAAATAATATGCTCTGCATATATTACATAAAATTAAACTCAACTTAGAATATAGGCCACCATTCAAGGCGCATCATTTTGGAAGTGTAACTTTTGCATTTATTGCTGGCATTGATTTTTATATTTTTGTTATTTTCAATATAATTTTGTGAGCTTGAAGGCGCATTAAGTCAAATTTTTTTTTAACTTAGATAACTTAGATAAAAAAAAATTTTATAATTAAAAAAAAATGGAATATTAAAAAAATAACTATTGTGAAAATCGTAAATTTTATACTAAACTAAATTTGCATCTATTATTAATAACCATTTTAAAGTTTATAATTAAAAAATATATATTTATAATTAAAAAAATAGAATAATAAAAAATAGCTATTGTGAAATTCGTAAATTTTAAATTAAACTAAATTTTCATTTATTATTCAAATCATTTTAAAATCTATAATTAAAAAAAAAGATTGATAATTAAAAAAATATATAATAATAAAAACGAACTATTGTAAAATTTGTAATTTCGAAATAAACTAAATTTCCATTTATTATTAAAAATTAAAGTTTATAATTATAAATATATATTTATAATTAAAAAAATATATATGGATTATAATAATAATAACGAACTAATGCAAAATTCGTAAATATTTAATTAAACTAAATTTTCATCTATTATTAAAAATCATTTTAAAATTTGTTTGTAGAATCTTTGGGCGACGCTAATGAATTACAAAACTTTTTAAGCTCAAAAACATTTTTGCCGTGTAAAGAAAAATAAAAATTGAGATTCGAAATAAATTCATATTTTACATATATATGTATATAATTGAATAAAAAAAAACCAAAAATATTCAAAAAAAATACACCACCCTAATTTGTATGACTGTATATAAAGATAAAGCATCGTTTCATTGTTTCGCAAACGCCTTAGGAGCATAGTGAAATTTCTTAATAATTTCTATACTTAAACCGCAATAGTTGTCATGCTAATTATGAGCTTATAAATAAATAAAAAACAAAAATAACAATAATAATAGTAAGCCAAACTTTCCTATTCAACAAAAAAAAAGAAGTGTAGAAGTGTAGAAGTAACGGTGCTATAATTTGTAAAGTAAAATAAGATGAAGAAGAAGCATAACACAATAACATAAGTGAGATTCTCTGTTAAGAATTATGTTTATTATTCGCTGTTTGGTCAAAGTATTTATCTACCAACGGATGTACATACATATGTACATACACACATACATATAATTTACGACTGCAATACATCGTTATGTACGTATGTACATACTATATATAATATATGTTTGTGCTACTATAAAGTACTTTCTTAATAATAAAAAAAATTGCAATATTGCTAAGTCTTCTTTTTTCGTTTTGACTCTTTTACGAATACTTCTTAGTATATGAGTATGTACATTTAAATTTGCATGTAACGTACATACATGTCCTGCCAATTTGCCTATACATTTTAACCAACTTCGAAATGCATAATAATTTAGCACAATTCCTTCAAACATACATACATATGAATGTATGTATGTACATATATGGAAGTATGTAATATATACTATAACACGATATGCTTAAATATTCATGCTGGCGGAAGTATGCCTCTGTACGAATGAAAGCACATAAGAATTCTTTTTTTTGTTCATTTACGTATGTACATATGTGCATACCTTTGCATGATCGTGGCAATAATAATGAAGGTAAATACATATGTATGTATGTACATACATACCTATATAAACGATGGTGAACTAATAAATACACCATCTGTCATGTTGTGAAGTGGAGAAAACTTTGGCTTCAGCGAAATAAATAGCTGGAAAGCACTCACCGTAACGTAACCTGTGAATGCGAATGTAAGCGGGATACATTTACGTATGTATGGACATACATAAATATACATATGTATGTATGTTTGTACGAATGGGACGTAACGGCGGAGGTCATTGCCTATTGTCTGTCATATACACTAAATAATAAAGCGATCTTACCGGGTATGATGATTTATGTTAAAGCACAATTTTCTTTCTTTCTCTTTTATAATGACAGGTTGAACCATTTATTTTTTTTTAATTTTTTTTTTTGAAGATGGTATTATTTGTTTGTTTTTTTTTTTTACATACAAATACCTGCATGTTTGCACATAATTATTTGCATGGTTAAAACAAGTGCAGCATTAATTTTGAAAGAAATAAAATTTCAACTGAAATACTCTTATTTCCCCCAAACGTGCGTATATTTTCCATATGCTAACGGTTTATACCAACTTTAGCACATCCTTAAAAACTTTCATACATACATACATATCATGTATGTATTTCAAGTGTTTTTTTCTTTTATTTTTATTTTTTTATTTTATATTTTTTTTTTTTTGCATCTACATATGTACAACTCTGCTTACCTCACTTTTGATTTGACCCATTTTTAGGTGTTTACTATAATTTACGTTTATAAGTAATATCAAATATATATAAATATATTATAGGTTTTATTTCTTTCTTTCAAATTTTCGATCTTGTTAAAAATTCTCTAAAGTCCATAATTCAAATGACGGAGGAATTCCCAAAAAAAAAAAACCGCTAAACTCACGACGGATCGTAACGAAAGCTGGCAAGAAACTAAAAGCAGCAGCCAAAAGTCAATTGCAATGAGTAAAATAACCAATTCGGCTATTCCCAACTTCACGCTCTACAACGTTAGCTGTTACAGGTTACATACATACATACATACTACACATATGTACATATATAACCAAGGTATATTAACAATATTATGAACAAGCTCTGCTCATCTCAGCGAATTCAAAGGTGTCACGACGTTATAGGAGAGTGGCAAGTGTTGTTATCTCTTAAAAGAAATCGAAGGCCGAAAAAGTGGGTAATTTTCTTTTAAATAAAAGTAAGACTTCATCTGTAGGAAGTTGTTTCAATCGTTAGTCAAATGTGAGCAGGAAGTTCTTATTTGAAACCACTCATTTTGGTGATTAAAACTGCCTTAACACGGCTCTATTTCTGCTGACCGGATAATCGAATGAAAGATCACCTAGAAAAGCGACTAAATAAATCATTTGCAAATATTTATTTACTAATAAAATTTGTGTATTTGGAGGGGAGAATTATTTTGAAAGCGATCGGAAGGCTTCATGCTCTCTGCCGAGGAGCGATCGCAGTCAGAAAAATAAATTTTCTATAATTTTGTATGTTGGTCGAACCAGAACTCGAACACTGCCATTATGGACCATATATGCGGTAACATTTTCCAAACGCCCCCGATTATGAATCAATTCAAAGAAACCTGGTTAGCGAAAAAAAATTCACAAAACGGCTAAGTGACAATGCTTAAGTTAAGTTCACGTAAAGAACGTATATGAATACGTATATGAATACGTTCTTTGGTAAGAATATTCAAATACGTTCTTTGGTACGATCAAACAAATATTACCATTTCAAGCGTCTTTGGCTATAGAATTATGCTTCAAACATGAAATATCTGTTTTAAATGTGGTTTCAAAATGTAAAATTTTTTGTTTTAATTAATCTGAAATTCTTTCGATCGTAATTTAAAATTACATTTTTAGTGCGCAACTACTGTGGCAACTGAACACACCCAAGGACTAAGTGCACAAAAAAAACGAATTTGAAACTCATCTGATTTATTGGAAAAAGGCAATAGTTTTTATGATCGCTTATGAGTAAAGAACATGAACCACCTATTGCAGCAGCAACACTGTGAGTGGGAAATACAAGAATTTGCCGACGGGAAGGCTGATCTTTATATCGTGTAAGGCGCCTAAAATCCAGTGGCTCCCAGGACAATCCGAAACAACACCCGGAGCAATAACCGTCCAGAAACTGTTCCACTAGGTTTTCCTCATTGCGGTTTTTTGAGAATTTGGCAAATTCAAAAACATTGAAATATGTTTTTGAGGAGTTTTTGTAACTCGCCTGGAAACTAAAGCTTATTGAATAAATATTGTTTATTTTTTATTTATATAGATCATAATTTTATTGTAAGAAGTTATTATTTATAGACTTTCCTTCTGACAACAAATCGAAAAAAAAATAATATTTGCTCTACTAAGTAAATAATCAGGAAAATAAGATAGTATGAATCGTGCTAAAAACAAAAATTCTTTGTTGAAAACAATTTTTAAGCACAACCAAATTTCAATCCTTTTGGTCGCGAATCAGTAAAACACATGTCAGACACATACTTACCGACTATATGAAACATATAATTTTGTGATTACGTCTACAATTTATTATGATTGTAAAATTGCAACTCATAGTATTACAGATTAATATTAAAAACTTCATTTTTAAAGATATTAATTCTAATTATTATATTAATTCTGATGAAGCTACTATAACACTACTACAACTGTACGATTTTTCAAATGTTTTTTTTTTTTTTAATGTTTATGTTGTGTGTGAATGTAGTGAGTATGGGAATTTTAAATTAAAATTCTGCGCTAAGTGCAACACAAGCTGACTGACATAAGATGATACACACTAGTATATAGTTCATTTCTAACTCAATAAAACATATTTTATCTTTTCCCAAATTATAACAATTCTTGATTAATTAAAAATTGAAATTAAATAAAACAGTAAGAATTTTGCATTTTAAATACACGCGAATAAAATGAAATGTGGCTTTACAAGTCGGATGAAAATTAGTATCCATTATGGTAGAATATTAAAGCAAGAGACGTTCGATTGTAACTCATTCCTCTTTCATACTCTTCTCCATTGTAAAAAAAAAAAAATTTTTTTTAAGTGTTTTATATCTTCAAATAACTTGCTATGCTTTCACTCTACAAGTTGTTGTTTACAAGTTGCATGATACGGCACTTTGACAATTGTAAATTTAGTTTTCGGTAAATTATCTGCCAGTATGGTTTCCACTTTGTCTAATGGTAATATTTCAATTTGCGGTACATCACTTGGCACTTGTTCTTCCTTAGAGTTTGCGCTCTCTTCATCATCTTCATCACCATCCTCGTTAGTAGGCGCACCAGGCACAGGCTTCAAGACCGGTATACATTCATCAAAGTGATGTTTTTCCTTCTTAGTTGATTCCTCGCACTGATCTACGTATAAGGCGGTCACGCGCAGCAACTCAACTGTCACGCCCCAAGTGAACACTTTTAATGTATATGCTACCTGTTGTACTGCATTCAAAACTATGTGATTTGTTGTTGCTGACTGTGAAATATACGTAGGAATGATGAGTAATTTCCGTATATTAGTGCATAATTGTAATTTTTCATCAAATCCTGATTTAATATCAAAGTTGACCAATTCCAATTGTGACAATTCCTCAAGTTGTGCAACCGCCTCCAGTATGCCCAACGTACAACAGCTGGTTTCTTGCCCGTTTTCGAGTCGCAAGCGACGCAGTTTTTTCAGTTTTGGTAGCACAACTGTTGCAAAAGTCGAATCAAAATCACCACATTCACCTAATTCCAGCGAACATAAATTCCCAAGTTCACCAAATACCTCGACACCTTTAGTACCCAACTCTCGTACAGCCGTTATAGAGAGCTGAGTGAGATTTTTGAGTGCTTGTAGCGATTCTAAATTACCCGTAATAACTGCAGGCTCACATGTGCGTAGACGTAATTCTTCAAGCCTTGTTAACACACCGATATGCTCAAGATTTATGGCATCATCATTAATTGCAATAGCGTTCAATATGCGTAAATTTTTGTTGCTTTGAAATAAACTTTCAACAACTCGCGCCGAACAACGACACAAATCAATAATTTCCAACGAAAACACCGTACCGATATGTTCAGAAAAACTTTGCCACATTTCCTCACCGCGCGTGCTGGATACTAACATTTTCCGCAAATCCAAATGCCTTGTTTCGCCACGACGCAAGGCAGCAGAGAAGCCTGCCCAACTGCTAACACGAGAATTTTTCATACGAACAGTTTGCCATAACGATGTATCCTTGGCAGCGAGATTCCAGAGCTTACACACCGACGCTGCACGTGGGCGTTCCTGTGCGGGTGGAGAGAAAAAGTGATTTATTAATATAAGACATCCATAAAGGCAATTTCTTCGATTTCTTTCTCACTCACATGGATTTTCAAGTATTTAAGAATGCAAAGCAAAGCGTCATACGCAAATGAGACATTCGCAAAAAAGTTCGTAGCGAAAACTTTATTCGATTGATCGGCAGCATTTTGTACGTTTGGCGTACCGGGGGTTTGCGCAGTTGAATCCAATGAAACTGCAGATGTCTTGCGATTGTTACGTATGCTGTCATTAATTTGTTTTAGATCATTTTCAATATCATTGACGTGTCTGCAAAAAAAAACATGAACTTAAATAACTGTGCATAATTTAAATTTTACTTTTGAATGACATAATGTAGTGCGCCTCGCTCTCGTATTTTATGGACTTATGGAGAGGAATTTGGGGACAAAAATTAAAATCGGGATACAATACGTTCGCACACTCACTCAGTTGGGGGTGCAATTGGTTTGGCAACCATCACATACTTTTTTCCCTTTACTACCGCAATTGTTTGTGGGTACTTGTTTTCGAGTCGTATCGGCCGTACAGTGGATGGCTTACGTGTTGTGGCCGCTTTTGTTGCAGAGGTCACCTCTTTTGCGGGTAAACAAGTCTATAATGTAAATAAATTAAGAGCTTTGAGATACATGTAATATAAATACATAGATGGTACAAGTATTGTTGTAAAACGGTAATCACCTCACAGACATATTCACGACCCTTTGTTTGAGAACTACCTTCTGCAGCAATACGATATTCGCTATTCAAGCGATTTAAGCCAACACACTCGTGATGGAAAAGACAAAGACATTTCACACATTTCAGTTGAGGAACTTGACCTGTTGCTCGTGTGCATTTGGCTGTGCAAGGTTCATGTATTGAACGGCTGTTGTTCGCACTGTTGACCGTTGGCGTTGTTGTAGCAGTTACATTTGTGGTGACAGATGTCCTTAAAACCAAAAGTTAAGCTTTCTTATGAAAATTGGCAGTAAAGCAATAAAAATCGCACAAATGCTACTATGTAAATCCAACAAAAGTCAACTACGACAGATTTCTTTTGTAACGCAAATTATTAAAAAAAAAATTAAAATCATGCCATATATTTAGAGAAAAATATAAACAACGAGAGCGAGCTAATTCTTTCTATGTATTACTATATATTAACAAAACATATGTACTTACTTCTTTACTTTATTACTTTTATGACTTGTACCACTGCTAGAACCGGCTTGTCGACTACTTGGTGGCGTGCTGGATGTGGAATTTGTTGAGAATCTACTTGAGGTGGAGCTGCTAAGCATAGCGTTATTCACTTTAAGCGCTCGCGTCGGTGTCCAGCCTTGGGGTGGTGGACTGGCTCCTTTCGGCCCTTTGGGCTTAGAAATACGTTTACCGATATTAGGCGCGGGTGCTGCAGCTATTGTGGCAGCGGCCGATGAAACTCGGCTAGATGGTTTTGCACTACGCACGGTCTCGAATTCGGGACCCATACCGAGTGGCTCTCGAGCAAAGCTAAAGTGATCAATGGTTAGATCGCCTTCAAGTAAGGGCAATATGTCGCTGCGTGTCCGTAATTTTTTACCACCAGGTGTAATAAAGTAAACGTCCGCTTTGTCTTTACTTGATTCTATGTTTGCACGCCATACTAATTCACGTTTCCAACCAAATTCGAATGGTTTTTTGTAAAAGTCATCTTGTGCCGACAATGCTTTTTTGCTGATATTTGCGCTGGTCGGCGGTGCAGAACTTGCTATAGCATTTGTTGAATTTTTCGACATTGTGTTAGTAGGTATATCATTATCACCTACTACATGATCAGTTTGCTCTTTTTTTCGCGTTTTCTCCTCCTCCATTTCTTTAGAAGATGTATTTGAAACTGCCTGCACGACTGGCGATGTTCGTGATGGTGAAGCCGTAGAGCTCTAGTGAGAGGAAAAAAAAATATTTTAAAATAATTTCATATATTTAAACTCAGTTACCCAAAGAGTTGAAAATAACAATCTGAGTTTATTAAAATTTTTTTTTAAACTTGCTAACAAATTATATTAAAAAAAAATCTTACTGATTTCAATTTTTTACTCGGACGAGGGGAAGTAGCAGTGCCTCCTTTTTCTTTACGTTCAATAACTTTTCCTTGCGTAAATATTGTCAAGTCCGCATTTATAACAACAGCTTCCCCACTTCGCTCGTCAAATCCTAATAAGCATTCTGTCGATCCAGAACGCCGATATTCATATCTTTTACGTTTAAGTGCTACATTTATAGCATTTTGTTTAAGCATTTCAGTATTTCTCATATCCACACTTAATAAGTGGTAATCAAATGCGACACCATCGTGACTATCGTCTTCATCAGTGCCTGATACTTCCAATTTTAATGCCGCTTCGGAATGAAGTGAATCATTTTCATTTTTATCATCGGAATGTATATCAACTTTATCCTCTTCAGGAGGATCATCCTCATGTTCGCTTATTTCGGCAGGCTTTGCATCGTCACCTTGACTAATGTGGCTGATTGCTGAGGCGCCGCTATTCTCTTCCTTCCATCGTGGAGATTCCGTTCGATGAATTGGCGAATCTCTCATCACTCCAGAAGCATCGTCCACTTCCATTCTGATATGATGAAAACTTTGTTTCCTTTTCGGTGAAATTTTCGCAAATTTTTTCTGGAGCCACCGTCTTTTAAATCCCAAATTATATATCTAATAACACTACACCGTATACAACAAAAGCAATGGAAGTTTGCTGACACTAACGATAGTCTTTGACGTTTCCTTAGCCCGCTTTTTCGACAAATATGAGGTTAGGTGTTGTTTGCGACGTTACGTTTTGGCTATTCAGTTTTTATCTCACTTTTTGTGTTTGTCTTCTTTTTATTCGAAAATAACTATGCAACATTAATTTACATTTATATGCACTATGCTATGATTTTAATCGAATAAAAAAAACAAATTTTACCCAATACAATATAAATATTTATTTAGGTAAATAATTCAATAATAACGCGGAAAACAAACGGTTCAATCCTATTCACATTGCTTGTTGTTTTCTGACGCTTTCCGATAGAGCTGCCACGCAATTTTTCCAGTTAACTTGGAAACGAAAACGAAAACAGCAAAACTTTATGTTGCCACAGAATTCTTTTAGATTTCTAAAACTATAAAAATTCTCTTTTTTTGACATTTTCAATTCTCATAAACCAATAAGAATATAATTATTTTCAGGCGCTTCAATTGTTCGTATTCGTATTAGCTCAAGTCAATGCCTTCGGCTTCCACATCTTTCCGCAACCGTGATTGTAGTTCCGTCTTATCTCCAGTTGTAAATAATCTTCGCTTTGCCAATTCCTTTTACGGGGCAGTGTCGTCAAATCATGTATCTTGACCGTTTTTAAATTTTTATACTTCAATATTTACTTAAACATTCCAATTCTGGCTACAATTCTAACGATTTTTACAAAATTTGCTTAACTATACACGACGACATGTTCTACATTTCACACAGTTTGCAAGCTATACAACCCTACAAAGCTACAAAGCGGAGGTAACCATTTCACCATTACAATCCAAGGCGAATTTATAAAAGGTGACGCTGTCACATCATATGATTATCACCATATTATCTTTGATTTACTTTCCCAATTTAATAATTCTTTGTCACAGGTTGATTAAATATATTCCGTCGAAGTTGCAGATTCCAAGCACACAAAAATTAAGAAATAAGGTAAGTATTTAACAGGATCTGCAAATATGAGTGTATGTATGTACGATCGTATTCATGCGTGGTGCAAATATACATACATAAGTATGTATGATATTAAAGTTTTAATTTATCTTTTAAGAAAGATCAACAATATAATCGTTTATTTCAGTATTATTCATCATTCTCCATATCTACCACATCACGGCATCTTAACTGTCTGTCCATTCCCAACAACAAGCCTTTTCTTTACCAGAAATCCGAAGATTCCAAATGTAAGTTTTTAATATGTAAGTTATTGAAAATATTGTAAAATACATAACAATTGTTTATGTACTAGCCAAACGTAATTAAATATATAAATGTAAAATATGTATGTACGCAAGTGTGTAAATGGCAGGGTTGTACGAGAAGTTATTTTTTGGTTAATCTTCTGCCTCGATTAAATTTATTTAAAAAATTTTTTTGTTTTGTGAAAAGTTTACACTTGTTGTGGTGCATGTACTAGGTATACATGTATGCATTTCTACCAAACATTAAATAATTTAGTAAAGCCAATCTTCAAATATATCATTTTATCCCTTCGTCGACGCCCTCTCCCCTAAAAACGAGTGTTTCGTCTACGAAAAGTATCTCCGTGTAAACTAAAGACTAACGAATGCCACAAAGAGGATTCAATTTACCGCTGGTTGAAAACATAAATATATTAGCATTAGAGGGGATGTATGATTTGCTACGCTCTTGTCAGACAAGACAATATCAACAGAATGTTAAACATTTGTTGTTTTCTCCTAAGACTAATTCTAATTTGTCGATTCGAAGAAATCTAATTTTATATCAAATCTGTATCTTTCATAATACATATATACGTACATATGTGAATATTATTCTTTATATTTTCAGCCACCGCCATTTTCTATTTTTCCATCTATTTCAAATAATTACCTCAGTAGAAATGGGAAGCAGCATTGCACCGTCAACCCCTGCTGAGGGTGGCTCAAAATTTAATGAAAAACTTTTAAATGGACTTCGGCAATTTTATGATGAGCAGAAACTGATCGACGTGACTTTTAAGGTTTCTAATCCAACTGTTTTGTAAGTACATACACATATGTAACTATTTTTTAATAAAATATATTATATATATATTTATATAAAAGTTAAATATTGATACTATGTAATTTGACTTGCGAACCATTTTAGGATCCCTGCTCACCGTTTGATATTATCCGCTGCCAGTATTTACTTCGAGAATCTCTTTAGCAGCAATCAAGTCGGAACACCGTTAATCGAAATAAGCGATATTGACAGTGATACCTTTGAGCGTCTGATCACTTTTTGTTATACAGGAAAGACGATGATTACCCACGATAATGCCGCTAAAATGCTAAAGGCGGCAAATATTTTGCAACTGGATGATGCTGCTGTTGACTGCGTGAATTTTATTTTTGAAAATATAACGGAACTCTCACTGGGGCGGGTATATGTCCTGGAGCGCGAGACTCAGTGTGAACGTCTTCGGCAGAAAATCCGGGAGTATGAAATACAACATTTTATGGAAGTAAGTACAGCGAAGTCTCGCTAATATCAATTAATTTTGTAAAATACTGCTTTGCTTAATATTAATTCACATTCATTTCAAATACTTTCGAAAAATCTTAAGAGATTTTTTTTATTAAAATAAGCAAAGTTCTTTCACCAAATACGGTCCATTTGTCCAATCACTAGTTTTCATTGCGGATAGCCACAATAATGTAATAATGTAAATAAAACCTATGAAACTGTTTTAAATGTTATGACTTTGTGATTAAACAGTCTCGTTTCCCCTGGGACAAGCAGAGTAATTTGTGAATCCACAGAAATAACAACCGCTAAAAGATTGTATATAATCCTATATGCCTACATATGTATATAATAATTTCTTTATATTCATTCCAACTTCTTTTTCTCGCAGGTAAAAGGCAGTGCTGAATTCTTGAATTTTGACTATGAAAAATTGAAGGAAATCGTGGAAAGCGAAGACTTGAATGTGACCAGCGAAAAAGATGTCTTTTTCGCGATTAAAATTTGGTACGAACATGATACTGTCGGCCGTGAACGTCATTTGCCTGACCTCATTGGTTGCTTGCGTCTCTCGCAATTCGATACGAATTTCATATTGACAAATATTCAACCGTTGGCAGGATGTGAGTCGTTGGCTTTAAAAACAATAGTATGGGTCAGTCAACCTTTAGCTCGTACAATGGTAACATTAAAATTCACGGAGCCACGGGAATCTTTACGTACAAATCTTGAAGAGATGACCTGTTTGGCGGTGGAGATAAGTAGTGGCGTAAGTACTAATTTTATTATGGAGAGTAGTGTATTTGGAATGGATTTTTATGAGAAGAATTTTTTACATTCATATACATACATACATATCTAGTTTGAAGCAAAATTATGACATACTAGGCTGGAGTGACTGGTCAGTCGGTCGGTTTCAATAAGTAAACCCTGCAAATTTGCGATTTTTTATTCCTTTACAGCTAGGATAGGTTGGGTTGTCAGGAAGAAATACTAAATTACTCCAATAACGATAAACATTCCTAACTTGAGTAAAAATATTAAGTTTTCTATTATATTATTGATCTAACTGCTTATTTGTACGTGTAAACCACTTCGTCGCTGCTCAAAGTCTTTCACGAAAATGTCGATATGTACGCCTCGAAGTAAGCCAAACGCATCATTCAGATCTATGCTTATTCACTCTCAAGTTAGACGTATAAGAATAGCTTGTAACCTGCAGCGGCAGAATGATAAAAAAAACGAAGCGCACCTTCCTGGGCACGATTCTATGCTTATATCCAGAACGTACGAATTTGTGTCAATCTATCGATGATCCCCTTCCCGTATGGAAAAAGTATTATCTTTATTTCGGGCAAATCGAACATAATTCCAGGTCTCTGGTCCGTAATCCACTTAGTGTAAAAAGAATGTCAAGCAACAAGAACTTTTAATACAATTTTTTACGCAAAAAGTCATCTTTGTACCGAATTTCAAGTAAATCGAACCTTAAATAACATTTTCTCGAATAGTTTAGTTCTTGGGCCAATTTCCGAAATTTGTTTCGTTCAAATCTTCCCAGAAACCATAAAACAATATGACACATTAAGTTTTTATATATAAGATATAGATTATATTATATATTATATGTATATACATATATGTATATGTGTGTGTTCTGAGTTAAAATTTATGTCTCTCATATTTTTCATATTAATTTGCAAATTTCTTCAAACAGCATACCACTAGTTGTCTCTTACGATACAATAAAACTGAAGATAAATGGATAAAATACGCAGATTTAGATACACAGGGTGTCTATAGGTTCAGTGTTATTCTTAATGATGACAATCTAATCTTCACCGGAGGACAAAGAAACGAAGAAACAAATGAAGTTAGAAGCTGGAATTTGCGTACCAAAACATGGAAACAGCTGCCCGCAATGACTCACTCTCGGATGAATCACAGTGCTGCACTTTTAGATGGCAAAATGTACGCGATTGGTGGATTTAATGGAAGGACTTCTCTAGCGTCGGTAGAAGTGTAAGTTTACGTATAGTATATGGAAGGTAAATGCAGATGTATGTGAGATGTATATACAAATGCCCGAAATGCATACATATCTATGTTGGTCATCATGAGAATAAATCATTTGCATATAAAAGAACTGAAAAATCGCAGATTTCCACAGTAAAGGAACTTGAATATATGTGTATAAAGCTATATTAACCATAACCGATGTCTTTCTATATTTTACTTTATTAGTAAGGAGTATTATACTGTACATACACACTCGTATTATAGCAGTGTTCTTCCAATAGACCAACAGAGCAACGTCGTTCCGTTAATCGTGATATGACGCATCCCTAATTCTAAGCGTTCAATTCTAGCTAAAGTCGGGAAGTTCTTTCGAACAAAAAATATTGTTTAAAATTGTGATGCCTCCACAAGCACGTCTAAAAAGTTTCTACCATTGAGCACTTTTCAATAATAAAAAATTTACTTTCAGTTAATTTGTTGAACTTTACAAAAGTGCCATTCGAACTCAGCTACTTTTTTCTAAGTGGGTAAATAGTTTTCAAAGTCCTGAGATACCTATGTGAGGGTGACAGTTAAAAATCTATCTATTTTTGTATTTGTAATTTGAAATCATGAAATGTTTGGGATTTACACAAAAACATGGTTAATTCCAGAGATGCCCAACTACCGCACAAACACATCGTTAACGGTAATTCGAAATTGGAATAGCTGCTTGTGATGATACTAACAGCACACCAATCCAATTTTAACATTTAACATTATCTGTTAAAGATTTAACATTAACGACCATTAATAGCTTTTCGTTTCGGGTCGAAACGAGACAAAATTTATTCTGATAACTGCTTTAACGATAACATTTGCCGATATTGCAACCGAATCGATGGACATTTTTTGGTTAAGTTGAAATTTGTCGCTACGATGCAGCTTTGGTTAATTCTTATACAATAACAGTAATAATTTTTAAAAGTAAAATAACTTTAAATATAATCCCAAAATCGCACTTAAAGTAATTATTTTCGAAAATTTTCGTCGCAGAGCTCAATATCACATACAAATATTTGTTGCGGTTCTCGTTATACAGATTATGCAGATAAAAGATTTTCCGGACAAGTGGACCCATGCGCCACCTAGCGGTGTGAAATACACTCCACACTCTCTTAACACACTGTTTCTTCCTACCAAATATCCACAAAAATGTTATTAAGTCTGTTTCGGGGAGTTTGAATTCAAGCACCGGTATTTTTTATACTAAATGTATATATGTATGAATGTATAATTAGCGTTTTCCAGGGCTTAAGCTATGTTTGTGTGTTGTTGTTATGCAGTCCCTTAGTTTTATTATATTTCATTCATTTTAGATTCTCCTCCACTGGTGGATGGCGGGAGGTACGCAACATGAATACACCACGCCTGAACGCAGCTGTAGTGACCTTAAATGGCAACATTTTCATTATGGGAGGTTGGAATGAAGTGCAAAGTATAAATTCTGTTGAACGCTACGATCCAACCACAGATAACTGGACTTATTGTGCGAATATGAATGGTTCGTGTATATTTCCTGGTGTAAGTGAATTCTAAATTCATATAAAAATAACTATTTACGCCTTTTTGAATCGATTTTGTATTTATGAATGTGTGCACGGTGGGCTTGTCCGAGGTCGTAGCTCTTACATTGCGCAGATGATAGAGGGTGAATGGGTCTGTCAACAGTTGACTGAGTGAAGACTCTACGAGTATTCCGGTGTGCAGAATCTTGTAAAATTCTTCACCGTTAAATAAACTACTAAAATTTAAAATTTTGGTTTACCTCTAATTCAGGTCAAATCGTACAAAATTATCAAAGATGTTTGGGCAAACGACTTCGAAATGAAATATTTATTTTAAATGCAGAAAACACGATCTTTTTCCAAATTTCAAAGAGAAGAATATCCGTTATTTAATGCAAAATACAAATGAATTTTCTTGAATTTGAACTGAGCGACGACATTGAGTTTATAGAACCCAGAATCGCTTCAAGAGCGTTCATTGCATCATTATATGTACATATGTATGTATCTATATGTGTATAACTGTGTATTTGTATTTGATTACATTTCAGGCAGCCGTGCACAAAGGATTCATATATGTTGTAGGGGTGAAGGGGGCTGAGCGATACGATCCACAAAGAGATGTGTGGACGAAGGTTAGTTGACTAATTTTTAGGAATTCTTCACAAGTTTCACATTAATATTCATTCCAAATCATTCACAGATCTCTTTACCTACCAATAGTGAAAATCCTGGTTGTATTTCCTTAAACAATCAATTATGGGCTATCGGCGGATGGGGCTATCAACAAACAGACCGCTCTTATGTTTATGATGACGAAAGCGATCGGTGGATGGAAAAGGCTCGTCTGCCTAATCCTGGTGCATACTCCTGCTTTATTGTGCCTGAAGCTTTCTTATAATTGGAATAAATAAAATAATAAAATATGAAAACTTCCAAAAATATTTTTATACATAAATAAAAGTGAAAATAATAAAACTTCAATCCACAGTTATTTTTTTTCTTTCCATACAAGTTTTCGACACACCGAAATGTGAACTAATTAATTCTAACACAGCACAATGTAGTAGTCCAATGTAGTCGCTCTCAACTGCAACCGGGGTGTGCGAGCTCACACTGTCCATTCCACGTGTCAGGTTCGAAAATATGATGCGAACCTTCTTCTGTTGCCTCCGCACTTTCAGTTTGCGGGAATCTATCATTGGTAAATATCATCAATGAGTTTCACTTCAAGGAAAGTCTTACACACATAGGTGCTGTGATATGAACCTCTTTTCCGGTGGAAAAAGCGACACTTGCTATTCCATAAACTACATATTTATTGATGAGTGCACGAGAAGGATAGAGGAAGATGGACCAAATTGTGTTCGTACGAAAAGTTTCGGCAGTGGAATGTTTGAATGAAAACTAATTGTTTAAGGAGAAGTCTTTGCAATATTGCTATTATCCACTAGGAGACATTCGCAGCGAACTGATTGGATCTAGAAACCTAATGTTGTAAGTGTCCTGAGAAAAATGAATCAACAAATCAACCGTACGAAATGGCGCTGTTCCTACACAATTTTGGCAAATAAAAGTCGTATCTGTCAAAGCCCTAACATAAATGCGCTGCATTGCGATTCAATATTACTTTTGTTTGCGAACGCATTATAGTTTAATGGATGACAAAGATTGCGTTTTCCGGTTTGGGTGCCGTTAAAGTAATAGAATATTGCAGAATTTTTTCGGCAAGGTAAATGAGAAATTAATTTTTATTGTGCATACATATGTACGTTGACTCTAAAGTTTAATTTAAAAGAGAAATTGTATGGCAAAGAGAAAATAGTGACGCGGTTCATAAGCTTCTTTAACTTAAATACAATGGCTAAACGACGCTTTCGCGCTTTTTACTACTCGGTTTTGTTTGTGTTAAATTATCCAAGCTGAATGGGATGTCTAGCTGGTTGTGCCTGCTTGAAGTACTAGTTCTAATGTATTTCTTATAGTAGTTTTGCAAAAAGTGCTCTGCATAACACGTAATATGCTTTCGTATGATTTATAGCGTAAGCAAAAAAAAAAAAAAAAAAAAACAGAAAAAAAATCATAATAATAATATGTGTGTATAAGAGAAAATTTATTCAGCGCATGTCACAAACCAAAGAGTGCTCTAGTTCGTGCAACAATTTTTGCCTTAACACTTGCAGCAGTCGTCCTTCTGCCATTCAGCGTCATTGTTCGGTCGCCGGTCTATTATTTAAAGATGTTAGACTTAAAGAAAACCAAAAAATAAGTGTTAAAATAAAAAACCAAAAATTAAAAAAACAAAAAAAAAAATTAGAAGGAAAAACAAACTAACAAACAGTGATGTAAACAAAAATTAAACCGAAATTTCCAAATGTGTTTGCATTAATTCAAATTGATCAGAATTAAATTTATCTTTGCATATTCTTGCATTTTTTCACATACAAACATATGTACGTATGTTATGTATATACTTTGTTTTCGCTACACTTGCAACTTCGTTTACTTTCCAGCAGTGTGCAGTCTGTAATCGCTAGTAATTGTGGTGTTTTATCCTGCTGCAGGTGCAAACATGCCGGTTCGAATTCGCTTGTTTTATATAATTTAAAATACAACACAAGTTGTTTTAGAAATTGTTCAATTAAATAATTAAATAAAAACATATCGATATATATAAATAAGAAAGTATTTAAATTATTTAAAACCGTCGTAATAATCGCATCGTTTTACAAATGATATTTTATTTAATTCAAAGACATAACTACGTAAATGAATTTATTAAAAAAAAAAAACAATTATATATGAGCATACATACATATCGTAAAAGTGTTGTAAACAAAGAAGTCACAAAATATAATAATTTATATATAAAAATATAGAACATAAATGTACGCCATTTAACGCAGTAAATATTCGATTAATTTTGAATTGATCCAAAACAAATGTATGCATGTATGTACATCTCTATTTATATCGCTATTTGCGTGAATTCCTATATAAAAGATCTGCAAAATAAAAAAGAAATCGTTGCTAAACACATTTAAACACATCAAAATATATACGATTTGACATACAAACATACATATTGATTATAAAACAAATTTACTGAATTTAACGAGTCAATTGCCCTAAAATGTGTACATCACAACACTCTGTGGTGTCTTCAATATTCATTACAACAACTGCATTGACGGCGACGACATATACGGAAAAAATGCATTCACGTCGCTTTCACACATCAACAGCTTTTCTATTGGAATTATTGATTGTTGTGATTTTGTTATTGCAATCGCAATTCGCCTCAGCTGGCTCATGTCGCGAAGCACAACTTTGTTGCAATGGGCGCGACTCGTCGTGTGTGGTGCAAAAAACACCGGTTAATGCAATTATTGAAGATCTCAACGATAAACCCTGCTATTGTGATCATGCTTGTCTGAAGCTGGGCGACTGTTGCGCTGATTTCAAGGAACACTGTGGAGGTAAATTTTTCTGCATTATTAGCTATTATTATTCTCCTCACACCATTTGCACACACTTGGAGTGTGGCGAACATAGTACCGTTTCCAAAGGCTGAGTTTGTCTGCCGTCTCTAAACGGCTGACGGGGTTTTATGAGGAGCCTTACTTTCGTGTCAGAGGAGTTGACATGCACTGGCGTGGGGCGATAGCAATTAGAAAAATTAACTTTATTTTTTATTTAACTTAATTTTCTCAAATTTTCTCAAATTTTTGGATGCTGTTCGGACCTGGATTCGAACTTCAGCCTTCTGAATGATATTAAGTACAGCTAGCCACTCGGCTAGTGAGGGCGAATGCTGTTGTTAACTATAAAAAAAAAACTAAGTTGTTTCATCAAATAAAGGAGAATCCGTAAATGACGTAGCTTGGCCAAAATAGGAAAGAAGAGGTTAGTTTAAATGCTACGCTAGAGCCACGTAACCGGCAGGAGGAGATGAAAGCAAAGCTGTGCGAATTTATTGAAAAGAAATAAGGAAATAAGGAGTGGAGGGCTGCTGAAAGTCCTAAATTATGACCACGTGGTTAATGGACGCCCTTTAAATATTCTTCTTCTTCGATATTGGCGTAGACACCATTTACACGATCATAGCCGAGTTGACAACAGTACACCGAGTTGGAGACATCAAGTGAAGCCAGGTTTTTCTCAACCTAATATTTCCACCGTGAGGATTTTCTCTTCCTCTGCTTCCACTGGTGGGTATTACATCAGAACTGCAGTGTTCTCATCCATTCGGTTCACTGGACATAGACAGCGTAACCTCTTCTTCTTCTTCTTCTTCATTGGCATAGGCACCGTTTACGCGATTATAGCTGCATCGTTGTTTGGCCCCAGTTAGAAATACCAAGTGAAACCAGTTCCTTCTCTACCTGGTCTTTCCAACGGAGTACAGGTCCTCCTCTCCCTCTGCTTCCACGGGAACGAACGAACGGGAACTGCATTGAAAACTCTTTCAAAGCTGGAGCGCTTTTAGTACTTCGGACGAAATGACCGTCTACTGAGCTACTATGTTAATGTTATCGTATAATTCGTACAGCTCATCGTTCCATCGTTTGTCTGCGATATTCGATGTTGCCAATGCATAGAAGGACATAAATCGTACCCAAAACTTACCTATAGTAAACTCCCAGGGCCGACTACTCAGATGTCGACAGGTGGGCAGTGATGAGCGACTTGTAGACTTTGGTTTTCATTCTTCAAGGGAGGACTTGACATTTCAATTGCCTAATTAGTACCTGTTGGCAAGAGTTATTCTCTGTTTGGATTTCAATACTGCTTGTTGGATGATGGGAGATACTTCGTCTGGCCTACGCTTCCATTAATGTCAATATCATCGGCATCATACGCCTTACAGAAGACTGTACCTTCTCTATTCAAGCTCTGCAGCTCGTAAATTAATGTAGTCACATCATAAGGAATCACATTGTCTGAAACCTCGTTAGGTATCGTAGAGCACGGTGTGTTCAATCGTGATCTTGACGGAGTTTTTTGTGTTGCTTAACGATACTCTTTTCACGGCTCTTTTCCAAGGTTTGGCGCATGGTGAATATCTTCATCAATGGTAGACGGTGGGCATAAGACTTTCACAGCAGCAGGCAGCTGGCTCAAACCATGGGGTATGGAGTGTGCAGAGCACATTAAGTTTCCAAGTAATTCACATTACTTTCCAACAGAAAGAAGTTTCGATTAATCGATTAATTAATTCTTGAAGTGCTTTAGTCCGTTTGGTATCCATGCAATTGCCTAGATTATTTTATTTCTACAGCGGAAGGCTCATCATCAATTTATCGGAAGCCATTCTTTTTGCCTATAAACATATACAGATTTATATAAATAATTATAAAATATATTTACTTTTCGACGGAAATTATGCTGCAAGTCATAATTTATTTACCATTGTCATATTCCTTTTTGTGCCGCTCGGGATTTTCGACATTTCGATTAGCCGGGAGTTGCCACTCTCCCGCAATATTAATTAGTAAACAACTGATTGTTTCGAGTTTTGTTAAAAGTGGGATTATCAAATGCATTATAATACCCATTTATATAATATATTATATAATAAAATACATACATACATACATACACACGTATACATAGGGGTGCGAATTTAATTTAAAACATATTGTTGTAAATTGGCTTCTTTCTTCGGGCGCCAAGTGGCAATAATTTGACATTCAGCTTAAACATGACATTTCCAATTAATTCTAAATATAAATTTTTTTGTTTGCAACTTGTTGTAAGGATAATACAAATATACGTCATCAAGCCCGTTTAAATATGTATGTGTATGTCCCTATGTATTGCAAAAAAAAAAAGAAGAAAAAAACGCACAGATAGCACTCGGCAGTCGGCAGTCAGCGGCGGCAGAATTGGAAATGAAGTCATTTTGTAATTCTGACGAAAGTCTTATGAAAAAAGTTTTATCATTAAAGTTGACAGGACGAGCAAGCGACCGCATAGCGGTTGACAGATTTTGTTGTATTTTCTTTTATTTTTATTTTATGTTTTTTTGTCTTTATACGCAGTACAGGCGGTGATGTATGAGGGTGTTCTTATATTATATATGTATGTATGTACATGTCTATGTGAAGGCATGCAGTTACAAGCTTGGCATAACAGCTTAAAGATTGTTAAGCAAACCGTTAACATTTATAAAAATATAAACGTAGCACATATGTACATACATGCATATGTACATATATATATATATATATATTAATAAGCGAGCACTCTATTTATATACATACATACATACGTACATAGAAATGTGGTGTTGAATATACTTTAATCGTAGGTATGTTGGTATGTTGACATATACGCAAATATGTATTTGTATATAAATGTAATATGTAGGCGTATGTTGGTAGATACTTTTGTACAAATATAATACAATCTATTATATATTTATGTGCTGCTTTGTGCACGATTGTGTGTAAAGCAATACACGGTCGCGTTTTATAACACCGTAATAACACACCCAACATCAAAGTGATGTAACGCCGGGATATTTACATTTTATGCACCACCTCCAAGGTGTTGGCATTCATCGATCCATTAAAAACATGTACTAATAATAGCCTTATTTCGTGGTTGTTAAGGGAATATGGCAAGAAATTACGAGACAAACTTCAATTAAATGAAATAAAATAAATTAAAACATAAGAGAAAGTAAATAAATTAAAGTATGAAAAAAATAAAAAAAATTAAAACAAAAGAATAAATATAAAATTAAAATTGAAAATAAAATAATATAAAATAAAAAAATAAAATAAAAAAAAAATTAAATCAAATAGAAAATAAAGTGAAATCAAATAGAAAATAAAATAATATAAAATAGAAAAATAAATAAAATTAAATAAAAAAAAATAAAATCAAACAGAAAATAAAGTGAAATCAAATAGAAAATAAAATAATATAAAATAGAAAAATAATTAAACTTAAATAAAAAAAATAAAATCCAACAGAAAATAAAGTGAAATCAAATAGAAAATAAAATGAAATCAAATAAAAAATAAAATCAAATAAAAAATAAAATAAAATAGAAAATGAAATGAAATCAAATAAAAAAAGGAAATAAAATAAAAAATTAAATAATATAAAATAAAAAATTAAATAATATAAAATAAAAAAATAAAATTTAAAAAAATAAAATCAAATAGAAAATAAAGTGAAATCAAATAGAAAATAAAATAATATTAAATAGAAAAATAAATAAAATTAAATAAAAAAAATAAAATCAAACAGAAAATAAAATAAAATCAAATAGAAAATAAAATGAAATAAAAAATAAAATAAAATCAAATAAGAAAAGGAAATCAAATAAAAATAAAATAAAACAGAATAAATAAGGTAAAACAAAATCAAATATAAATAAAAAGAAATAAAAAATTAAATAACATAGTATAAGTAACAATAATCAGAATAAAAAAGAAAAAAATATAAATTAAATTAAATCAAAATAAAATAAATTCCAGTAAAATAAACTAAACTGAAATAAAATAAAATTAAAATGAAATAAATTAATATAAAATAAAACAAAAAAAAAATAAATTTAAAAAATAAAGTAGAACAAAATGAAATGAAATAATATAGAAGAAAATAAGGAAATAATATAAAATAAAACAATACAAAATAAAATAAAATTAATTACAATATAATACAATAAAGTAAAGTAAAATAAAATAAATTAAAACAAAATAAAAATCAAATTTGAATAAAATGAAATAAATGAAATAAATAAAATAAGAAAAATTAAATAACTAAACTAAAAAATAAACTAAAATGGAGAAAATTAAATAAAATAAAATAAATAAGATAAAATAAATAAAATAAAATAAAATAAAATAAAATAAAATAAAATAAAATAAAATAAAATAAAATAAAATAAAATAAAGTAAATTAAAAAACCAAATAAAATAAAGTAAATTGAAAAAATAATTTAGAACGAAATAAAATGAAATGAAAAAATAAAATAAATTAAAACAAAATAAAAAACAAATTTAAAGTAAATAAAATAAACTAAAAGAATAAAATCAAACAAAATAAAATAAGGTGAATAAAATAAAATACCATAAAATGAAACCAATTTAAACAAAATAAAAAACAAATTTAAATAAAATAAAATAAAATAAAATATACAGTTAAATAAAAAAACATATGCCCACCTCTGTCATTCATAAAATCATTTAAATTGAATTACACTCATAAAAAAGTATTAAATATATTAATTTTTTTTTTTTTTGCCTAACAAATCTTATTTTGCGCCCATACATACTACATATAAGATAGTCTTGCCGACTTTTTGTAGGATACGCTTACACATTTTATGTACACTTTTATTTCTCCAAAAATTCGAAATTTTTACGGTAACTGCCAAGGGTTGTGTGACATTTTCATATTGAAAAAGTTTCCACTTCAGTGATTTTAAATAAAACTGCATGAAACTACAATCAATAGTTTCCACGTATGTTTATAGATGTAAATATATATGTTCATATGTACATGTATGTTTGTATGTTCATACATCCATATGCATATACATATATGAATTTGTATAACACCGGATTGAAGGGTAAGTCAATGCTTGATTGAACTTTAATGATTAGTATTCCTTGTTATCCTTACATAGTACGAGTATCAATTCATATGTATATGCCTATGTGTATATGTATGTATGTATGTATGTATGTATGTATGTATGTATGTATGTATGCCTTACAGATTCTTCCTCCAATTTATTTTCAGTAGCTTTGTGCTCACAATAAATTTATTCTCTTCAAGACCGTTTTAAAAGTAAACTCATGTAAATAAATAAATAAATAAACCCAAATGCTGCCCTTGTTAACGATTAATGTTCCCACTGCTTATATCAAAATGCCAAACTGGGCACAAGCATTTATTTATTTAGTTATGCGTGACGCATTTGTAGGAATGTATCAACAAGCAACGAAAACGCTGAAGAAAATCGATTACCTCTTAGGCTGCAACTACCCAACTCACTCTCCAGCCGTCCATAACTGACGACGTTAGTAGTGAAATACATACACGAGCTATCGACGCTGCTGAGAGCGGCGAAATGTTGCCAGCTGCCTGTGTGTTTGCACACTTTTGAACAAATTCATAATTTTCGTCAACGAATTTCATAATTTATTTGCTTTAACATAAACACAAGGCAAATATACATNAAAATAAAATAAAATAAAATAAAATAAAATAAAATAAAATAAAATAAAATAAAATAAAATAAAATAAAATAAAATAAAATAAAATAAAATAAAATAAAATAAAATAAAATAAAATAAAATAAAATAAAATAAAATAAAATAAAATAAAATAAAATAAAATAAAATAAAATAAAATAAAATAAAATAAAATAAAATAAAATAAAATAAAATAAAATAAAATAAAATAAAATAAAATAAAATAAAATAAAATAAAATAAAATAAAATAAAATAAAATAAAATAAAATAAAATAAAATAAAATAAAATAAAATAAAATAAAATAAAATAAAATAAAATAAAATAAAATAAAATAAAATAAAATAAAATAAAATAAAATAAAATAAAATAAAATAAAATAAAATAAAATAAAATAAAATAAAATAAAATAAAATAAAATAAAATAAAAATAAAAAATACAACAAAAATGTGAAAAAAATAAATAAAATTTATTAAAATAAAAAATATTTAATGAAAATAAAAAATTATACAAAATGAAAGAAGTGAGATAAATGAAGTAAGATGAAATAAATTTAATCGAAATCGAAGAGAGCGAAAGAAAAAGAAAAATTAAAAACTAGCTAGAAGGTGAAGAAGAAAAAGAAAGAAGAACACGTAGAAATATCAAAAGCAGTACTGGGAGGAGATGGGATTTCAAGTGTGTGTTCATGGGGATTGTAGCATTCTGCTTATTGGGTATATATGTCTATGTACGTATATATTTATATATATACTCAGTTTGATCCCTTCAGAAAACTTTTTTCTTTTTAATATATGTACATATGTATATTTGAGTGGGCATTTAAAGGAGATTTTAGCCTTGTTATTTGTGCTGATCTAACTAAATATGCAATAAATTTATAATTGATCATATTCAGTTTATCCTTTGGCCTTTATCTTACGCGCCGAACACTTTTACCCATCACCACATACAGATTGTGTGAGTGTGAGTGAATGAATATATATATATGTGTGTGTATGTGGAATGTGCATGTCCATGGGCATATGAAAGACTTTCTTTTTCTTTTGGCTCAATTAATGTGTCGTACATATATGTATAAGAAAAGGCAAGTTTGCTTGTCCTAGATGTTAAAGTTATATCTATTGTACATAGATATATATATGGCTATACTAACTTACATGCATATATAAATAGATATTTAAGTGTAGCTGAGATTTTTGTGATTTTCTAAAATGGTCATTTTACACAAAGGATGCCATCGGCAAGCAAATTTCTAGTTAACCAGCGCTTTAAGGCATTGTCATGCATGGCATATATGTATACTCGTATATATAGTATGCTCATATAACGAGCTTTTTATACAAGATTTTTTATTTCTTAAGACCAGTTCTGTTTTTTCTGATTTTAGCTCATACGAAGCGAGGCCACTAGATATTTCAACTAGATATACGCAAAGGAAGTGCCTTAATGCTTCAGATAAGAACGAGGATGACCTCGTCTCGAACTCACCATCCCTGGGTGGTCTACCTAATACCAGATATCCCATTAGAAGACCCATCATATAGATATTTTAGGGAGATAAGCACTCTTAATATTCTCTATGCCAGGCTGTCCGCATTAACTCTATTTTAGTGAGTTTATAAGAGGAGTCCGGCATGACCAGACTCTACCATAATGGCGAAGGTGGAAACGAAGTGCTGCTACTTGGAAGCTCGTCCGCCATCTCGTTACTCCAGAACCCTTAGAGCTGTATGGCTATTCAAGAAGGTACAGATACAATTCACGGAGAGAGAGAGAGAGAGAGAGAGAGCTATTAGGCGTAGAGAAATGACAGTATCTGTGCTACGGTAGCCGAAAGGACTTGCTTATTGAGCGTATTTTAAGCGAGTGATTGGCAGTACATACTACTCGTATCATGTGGAGTTAGTCGGTTCGAACGTTCTTCAGAGCAATATAGAATATGCTGTAGATGCCTTCATTAATCAAGGCGCTGAAGCGATCTGGTATGTAGCGAAGAAAGATGTAAGCACCAACGTTTTTAGAAAGGCATATTTTCTACTTATTGTGGCTTTACAACCGTTTCTTGACTTGGGTCGAATACATAAAATGTTGACGATCTCCTCTTTCCTTAGCGAAGTTCCGCCAGTTGTTCAGACCAAGACCAGACAGATCCTGTTGGACTTGGTCCTTCCATTTTTTCGGCAGCGCTCTTGCTTTCGTTGTCGTTGCTCATACGCGGATAGGGCCATAGATCTTGCGTAAAATAAATGACTCGAATGCTCCTAGATTATTCTCTGATTCGTCAACGTCCACGTTTTCGCGCCATATAAAAGAACGGGCATGATGAGAGATTTATAGAACTTAATTCTAGTTTTTCAAGAGATTGCTCTGCTTATCATTTACCTACCGATCCTAAAGAGGCATTGTTTGCCACGATTTATGCTCCGCACTGATGTTGGATCCTAAATAGACAAAGTGTTTTACAACTTCAAAGTTGTGGCTGCCCACTGTGACGTGGGTCCATCCCAATACGCCGCGGACTTTTTGTTTGCTGTTTTGTTCTTGTTCACTACTAGACCAACCCCTTCTGCTTACTTTACCAAAACCGCGCTAATGACTCTGGAATTGCGGCTCGTAGAGGTTCTTTCCAAATTTCAACAGAGCTGAAGCTTGTGTTCCACGTTATTCTACGAAGCCGTTTGAGTTTTGCGGGGATGGCCTAGCACAGCCTGCTTCGTTTTGTGCTCCTTTAAAACCGACGAATAGGTGGGATCGAAGGTTGTTGTGCCAGGTCTGATTCACACAGTCTTGAACAGCTTACCAGGACTTCAAAGTTATGACTGTCAACAGTGACGTGGAAGCCAAGTCGCCAACCCGAGGACTGTTCGTTTGATAACAGGAAATATTGCGTTTTACCCTCGTGCACCGCCAAATCCAGTAGTTTTACACCTTGTACCTGGTATACTTTCCTTGTCAGGTCAGCATCGAATTGAAGAAATCACACGTTAAAGGGTTACCCTATCTGAAATCTCGTTTGGTACCAAACAGCTCGGTGCGGTCCTGCCCAAACATGCTCTACCGTGAAGAAATTCTTTCATCACTTACTTAGTGCATACAACCCTATCGTAACCTCATACGACTGCATCTATTGGTTCGACCGAAGGTAAAAATATCCAGCAACAAATTCGTTGACTTAACGTTGCTTCACTTGCAGGCGATAGAAGTCTTCTCGTAACTTACACAATTCGCCTTCAAATGTACCGCAAATATTTTGTATATATATATGTGTGTATGTATGTATGTCCATCGTCACTTAATTAGTCACCGAATTAGTGTAAACTGAAATTTAATTAAAAATTTAATATCGTCCAAGATATCACGCTAAATTAAACAATTTTATTATTATCTATGAACAAACAAATGTACATATGTATGTACGCGTATATAAGTAACTGCGTTGACTGTTAATGACCTTTTCGAATGTCCAGCTGAAATGTTATCAAGAAAATAATCATTCTAATTATTGGCTATTTTTAATTTATTTACTTTTTTTGGTGAAATGAAATTTTAACGAATTTCCATGAGCCATTTTTGAGCAAAGACCACAGCGTTGTTGGAAAGGAAGGCCTTGCCAGCTTTCTCCAATCGGAAAAAGCATGCAAAGTAAAGTTTGTCTGAAGAAAGGTGCAACAGGAAAACATCGACTGCTGCGTGGGGCTCTCGGAGAGGATGCGCCAATAAATCTCAACCCTGTAGGCAATGGCTTCGATGTTTCAAAAGTGTAGCAATATATATGTAACAGACAAGGAGAGCGTAGAATTCGTAATTATCAATATTTTTAGATACCAAAAAAAAAAAAACTGTCTCATACAGTTTTGGACGAAGACCCATGCGAGACCGACTCAAAGTCCTTTACTAAGTTTTTACCAACGAAAAAGCGGCCAGACTCCAGGCTACTAGCCCTAATACGAGGATGATTGCCGTGCCGCAGTGGCGAGAAAACAGTCTGCTTACCTTGTAAAGTTGTGATCGAACATTAGGCGTGTGTGATGGGATAGATCCGAGACCTGAATAGGGAAGCAAGACGCATGTGCAAAAAAAAAAGGAGAGACCGAGTTGCGTTGAGTACAAAGTGTTTGAAAAGCTGGCCGGCATTATTAATGTACCAGAGAATTCGACGAAAAGTTACGACGACTTACAGAAGGTTACAAGATTGGTTGGACCAAAAAGGTTGAACTAGACACTGAAGGCCAGAGTATTCGTGTACCGAAATTGTGGAGGGTAGAAGTGTACCTGCTTGCTAAGTGCTAGTTAAAGTGGAGCACCAAAAGTTGGTCCACCCGATTTCTTTATAGTAGACAATGTAACAGTTGTTGAATAGATCGCTTATGAAAAACTTCGATTGAGCAAAAGACCAAAGCTCACCGTCAACAAACTCATTGGACCTTATCAGTGTGAGTCTTTAGACTTGGGAAATCCACCACTGACAGGTTATTCACCATGCGCCAAATTTTGGAAAAGATCCGAGATCGACTGTTCTATTTTTCCGTGGTTGCATAAAGAAGCGAAGCGTATGAATCTCTCCTGATATCAAACAAACCGCCATGGCATTCGAGACTCGACTGAGTAGGCAATTGAAGTGTATCGTCCACTCTCAAGGAACTAAGACCAAACTCTACAAGTACGAGGCATGGACGATGACAATAACTAGTGAGTCGGTGGCGTTAGAAGTTTTCGAGAGAATTGTGGTTCTCTACGTGGTGGTAACGACGAATAACACAGCCGATTGAGCGATGAGCTGTGCGAACTATATGATGATATTGACATCGTTCAGCGTATGAAGAGATAGCGGTTTGGCTGGCGTGGCTTGAAAAGTTTACGAGTTCCGCCAGAGGAAGCAGAGAAAGAGAATGACCTCGACTCCGATGGAAATTCTAGAACTTGCAGTATCTGGACAAGGGTGACCTCTATTGAGTCAACTGAATAAACGTAGATAATAAACTGACTCAACTCATGCTCAGATTTGATCTAACCCTTTTTTTTTGTAGTTCTAAAAACTTCTTGCATAGTGAAAGAATCACCTATCCACCTGCCCATTCATCTACTCTAATTTTATAGCACCGGATCGTTAATTTCGCTAAATATGTGGCAACTCTATTTCAAAGCTTTTTTCCTGAAAGCTTTTTCAAAAAAAAGTTTCCATTAGATATCCAGATTGCCAGCTATGGTGAAGGTGACAGACCCTTTTATACATGAAAAAAGTTATTTATTATTTTTTTATGCTTTGGATTTATTATTTATATACATACCTATTTCATGTATTATATAATATATATACTATTCAAAGCTTCATTCAACGAATTGTTATATTAAACACTTTCCAATTATTCTTGCAACTCTCTTGCAGTGGTCGATTGTCAGGTGAGCGATTGGACCCCATGGAGCGAATGCGATAAGAGTTGCGGTACGGGAATTATATTTCGTCAACGTAAAATAATACGAGCGCCACAAAATGGCGGTAAACATTGTCCAACGCTGATACAAAAGAGAAGCTGTGAAGGCTTTCGTTGTCATAGTGAGCGTGGCAAGCGCATTATACATGGTGAGTGCCAACAGATTTGCTATTATTATGTAAATACATATATATACACCAACTACGTATGTACATACGTGTATGTAAATTCATTTATATATTATATGTATATGCATGTGCTTTTTATAATTTTCTAACAAATTGTAGATTCTGAAATAAAAAAAAAAAAATAATTAAAAATAAAAACAAAAGAGAAATGCACTCTAAAAATTAAACTAAAACAACAAACAAAAACAGCTTAGAATGTTGTATGTAATATATAGACATGCATACATATGCACGCAAGCCTTTCAGTGAAACGACGTGTGCGCAAGTAATTATTTATGTACATATGTATGTACATATCTGAGTATTATTTGAATTTCGAATTTTATAATTGGTATATTTAGAAAAAAAAAAAAAAAAAAAAAACTAGAAGAAAAACAAAATTAGTCGCAATGACGAGTAAAAAGCCACACTTGACAAATAGTAATATTCAAAACGAGCGCTTAGCAATATGCACATAGCACACACACATACTCATACATACATAATTAAATAAAGCTACAGCTTCCTGCCTGCTCCTTAACACGTTAAAAAATAATTGCACACAAGAGCACGATAAGTGTGTAGAATATTAACGGGTGCTGCTAACTACTACATAAGCGTCTACAACTGCATACCAAGTAAGAAATCGTACTGGTTAGAATGGGTACTAGTTCAACACTAGCAGCTAATAGGTGTCTTTTAAAATATTTTTCAATTTTCATGCAAAATTATTGTGCTTGAAAATTAAAAAATAAAAATAAAAATTAATTTAAATTAACAAAAAAAATTTATTTTATTTAATTTTTATTTAATTTAAATTAATAAAAAAAAATAATGCCTGCTAATAAATTTATTTGTTAAGATGTATAGTTTTAATTTTATGACATATTTTAAATTTAGCTTGCATTTTTTTTATCACTAGAGGTGTGTTGCTGCTACTGCTGGTTTTTCTAGGTAAAGCGCTGCTATGAAAATGGTTAATTAAAGTTTTTTAGTGAATATTTTATAATAATTATTATTTTATTTTCGCAAATCTCTTATTAAGCAAAACTAAAATTAACTTGATTTTGGTTTAAAAAGAAACTAATGCATTTATGGTACATTTCGAACTGGTAGGAAACTAGTATGTTACTGACAAAAAGTTAAGAAATTGTCAAATTGCAATTAAACGTCGACCTTAAAGTTTTAAGAATTTGCTTTTTTAATAAAAAAAATACAGTCTGTCCGACTAGTTTCAGAGTAGTTTTGAAGTGAAAGATTTTTAAGCAATTATTAACCTATTGCCTTAAATTTCTCTTTTAAACACAAAAAAAAAAATTTACTGGTTTAAAAAAAATAACTAAAAATTCCTAGTTCACTCTGAACTAGTATGAGACCAGTATGTTAATGGAAAAGAACTGGCAATTGCCAACATGCAGTAAAGTACCGGTTCTTTTGAATTGTAAAAAGTTGCTTGTATAAAAAAATACCGACTAATTTCAGTAAAGTTTTAATTGAAAAACTGTTCTACTACTGAAGAATTTGTAGTGATTATTGTCTTATAACCGTTAAACTGAAATACTACCGCAATACTGTCAGCTGCTCTTTAAACCCAGAAAAAGTACAGTTTGTAAAAAATACTAGTACCACTTTTGGTTAATTTTAAACTAGTATAAGACCAACGCCGCTTTTAAAATATCACTTGCTTGTATGATCAAAACATAGTCTCGCGTCAGAGTAGTCTTAAACTAGTACATATTAATGCAAGGACATAAGTGAGCTTTATTTACATGCTTACATATATTCATACACAAACGAATGCATGTGTTTTAGTATGCAATAATTATCTGCAACTACCACCACCCACAATACGGTTTGCACAGCCATGCGTATGTATGTATATATGTATGTATGCATGTTACTGCATTTGACTTTTAGTCGCATTAAGGGTGACACAGTAACCACCTGCGTTATACTCAGCCATACATAGATACATACATATGTAAATGTATATGTATATGTAGATGTATATGTATATAATGTGTACCTGTGATATGCTCGAGAGGTCGATGCGCGGCATGGTAAATTCTAGCAACTGGAACTGGAACACGCTGCGTCTACTCAACTACTCAACGACGAATATAATTTGTAATGCAAAAACGACCGCGTGTTCATTCTGATGTGTGTTTACGAGCCTCAAAGTGGGCCCAGTTGAGAAGTCATTTTCACGCCATCAAATTTACATGAACTTTCTTCACTGTTTATTTCCTTTAAATTATGCAAATGTAATGCGCAGGTTTCACTAACTTCCTCGTTCTTTGTTAAAATAGGCGAACTGTCGAATAGTCGTTTAAAAAAAAAAACAAAAAAAAAAAAACGTAGCTTGAAAGAGTGAAAAAGGAATTACACTATTAAAAATATATAGACATACACACATACTATATATATGTGTGCCGAGTTTGTTAAAAGTTAAGCATATGCGCTATAGTTTGCGCTAAAATAAAAAAAATAAACTCATTAAAAATGTTTTGTGCCATTTTTACGCAGTTACATAGTTAAATGAACTAGTTTCAAACTAGTTCATATGGTCACAATAAGTTTTTAGCTTTAGTATTTTTATTACGAAAAAGCAAAATAAGTTGGCAATTGCGAGAAATTTGTCAGAAATGAAGTAGTAACATACTAGTTCAAAATGGACCAGTCAACTTTAGCGCTAAAACGTGTAGGAAAAAATATTTAAAACAATATTAGCACTATAAATAAATAATATTTAAATATTATATGTAATTAAATACAATTTTACTTAATGCCATTACATTATTTGGAAGAAATTACAAAAATTTGTAGCGTCTCGAGTTATATCCGTACCAAAAATTAAACTTAAAAAGAGTAGACAATGTATTAAAATAATATTTAGAATTTTATATTATTACTAAGAGTTTTGTAATTGGCTACTGTTTGATAGTTTACACACTAGTGTCAAGCTAGTGCTTTTTAGGACCAGTTCGTAATAGTTAGTATTTTCAACAAGGAAGTTAAAAGCGAGTTGGTGATTGTCGGACTTTGTGCAATAAAATATTATAACCCCATTTTTGTTCGAAACGGACGGACTAGTTGAACTTAAGCGACACAGTTTCGTAATTATTTTTCGAACTAGCGTGTAACTAGTAGCTTTTCTAATCACTACATTATATGCTTCATGCATTTTGGCAATTTTTACTTAATAAAATAAAAAAACAATAATTTCATTTCATTTCGAAAATTGCTCTAATTTCAGAAACTGCATATTTGCTACCTTCTTCATTGGCGCGACAACATAACACAAACAAAAGTAAAGAGTCCTTATGGCATGAACATGATAGCAAAAGGATTGGCATACACGAGTAAGTACCAACCTATATACATACATACATGTATACGTATGTAACATTATATATGTATGTATGCACATTTAATGGCATTTTGTTTAATTATGTAATTTGTATTTGAAGATTATGGTAAAGGATAACGGTATCATAAAAGAAGTTTTCATAGTCTCCTAAAGCTACTGAAACAAATTTTGATTCAACGTGTGATTTAAAAAAACTAAAAGTCACTATCCAAGCTTAAGCGTATGGAATTACCTTCTCAAATCCTTGTGAGTTTCGAAACAGTTTTAAAGGATTTCCATTCTGCACCGGTAATAAGAGCAAATGACTTAAATGAGAATGAAAATTTAAACTTTTCCGGTAACTCTTCGGGAGAAAATTTGCCATTGCTATGATAGTGTCTACTACCTGCAGCTACCACAACGAGAGAAAATATGAAATGTTTCCCAAAAAGCTTCATCGTCGTGTGTTGCTTAGCGCTCTACAGTGACAGAGGTGCGGTGTTCAACAGTTTCTTCTTCTTCTATGTGTCTTCGATCGATCTTCGGGTTCAGATATACGTATGTATGTCATAATCCAGCTGATATCGACGAAAGAACTCCACAGCCTCTCTCTCTCTCTCTCTCTCTCTCTCTTTCTCTGTCCTCGAGTTTTGAACTGTACGTAAAGATGGCTATCGTTCCTAGAGCGTTTGTATTTTTCGGATTCATTTCCATCTTCAGTTTTTTTGTAGAAAGGAGATCGTGGCATAAGAAATTGGAGGTTTGTACAGCCTAACCTTATCCTCAAAAACTGTGTTGACGCACAGAAGAAGGGAAGGGAAAATAATTGAGAAGAATTTCTTTGGGCTGTTGAAAAAGTCGATGGTAGAGCAAACTACTACTCTGTGTAAATTCATTGTGTAAAAGTTTTAGATTCCATCTCTTGCAAATGATCGGGTTTTTAATGTAAAGTGGTGTTAGAGCTTCTTTTTCGTCATATTGGGCATTCAATTCAGTTTACTATATAAGATATTTTTTGATATATTCAACTTCGGCAGAGAGGCAGAGAGAGGTAGAGAGAATGAGATACTTAGAGAGAGGGAAAGAAAGTGAGAAAGAGAAAAAAAGGAAAACAAAGAGAGAGAGAGAAAGAGAAAAAAAGGAAAACAAAGAGAGAGAGAAAGAGAAAGAGATAGAGAGAGAGAAAGAGAAAAAGAAAGAGAGAGAGAAAAAGAAAGAGGGAGAGAAAAAAAGAGAGAAAAAGATAGAAAAAGAGAGAGAAAAAGAGAGAGAAAAAGAGAGAGAAAAAGAGAGAGAAAAAGAGAGAGAAAAAAAGAGAGAGGGAGAGAGAGAGAGGGAAAGAGAGAGAGAGAGAAAAAGAGAGAGAAAAAGAGAGAGAGAGAGGGAAAGAGAGGGAAAGAGAGAGAGAGAAAGATAGAGAAAGAGAGAGAGAGAAAGATAGAGAAAGAGAGAGAGAGAGAGATATGGAGATAGAAAGAGAGAGAGAAAGAGATAGAAAGAGAGAGAGAGAGAGGGAAAGAGAGAGATAGAGAAAGAGTGATATGGAGATAGAAAGAGAGAGAGAAAGAGATAGAAAAAGAGAGAAAGAGATAGAAGGAGAGAGAAAAAAAGAGAGAGAGAGAAAAAAGAGAGAGAGAAAGAGAAAGATAGAGTGATTTTCATGTCTGTTAATATGCTCCGGACCGGACCAGTGTCCTTGCACGAGTTTCCCAGAAAGTTTAAGACCGTTTTGAAGTATTCCCTTATATTTTTGTTGAGTTATTCAGATTTCATCGTGTTCACAGGAAGACAACAAACAGTGAAGTTTAAAACTCCAGCTTAGGGAGTGCCTCCTGTGATGTACTGCAAGCGCTGACCATCTCAGCGAAGATAAAATTACACGGGCTTTACTGAAGGCTGTTCGGAATCGATTTCTTGTAGAGTTTCAATTATATTGTAAGAGAAGAATGTTGTTAAAAGTTCTCCTCTTTATATGGCGAAGAACGCCAAGCGTGTATTCAAATACGGACTTTCAAAGTATTTTTTTTATAGAAATGAGGTGAAACTAATGAGCGTGTCCAGTTTTGTAATGAAGATTGCTTTAACCTTAGTCTATGCATGGTTTCGTTGCTTCTTTCTCTCGAAATTGAGGGAGCTAATGATTTTTATAAACCGCCTCCGAACGTCCGATGGATTTTTAAGTCAGAAACACATTCAGCGCAATTGAAATTCTCTGCCGTGGGTCGCCCGTTATTGGTTCTTTAGCTTCTTCAAATTCTTCAAAGTTATCTCTATCCATATCAAAGGGTATAATTGAAATCAAATTATGTGGCATCGGGATATGGGAGATTATACTTTAATGAATTATCTGCCCCTTTCCTACCTATCTGGTTAGCTTTTCCTCTAAAAACCTTTTTATTTTTTCCTTTTTTTTCCAGTAAAATTAATCTTCTGTAATTTTGTATATTGTTCAGGCCAAAAATTCGTACTCGGGACCTTGCTTATGGTAGTATGCACGGCTGACCACTCTTTTTTGTGCTTATAAGTCGCAAATCCAGATCGATCCGAAAGCCACAATCAGTTATTGCTTTCCATTTGTGTCTCCCTGTTGTCGTGTGGCCTGCTAAAGGTCAAATTAGGCTTGCCATAACCACGATACTCACATAAAACAGCTGATCCAAACAACTTAATGGGCAGCACTGTTTCTGATTATGCCGTGCCCACAACCATAGCACTGCCAATTGGTATTTCGCCGAAATAATTTTTTTTCCTTGAGTGCGTGTTTTGTTTTCATTTTGACAGCAGTCATTTGTCGTGCTCTCGTTGCGCAAGTCCTCATTGCTTTAAGTCCGTTAACGGCGTGAGGAATATTGGGGAACACACCTTACATTTTTTGTCATCCATCTCGCTGTTCGTTAGTTGAAGACGTATTGTACATAAGAGCGCGTACTGCATTTGCATTTCGGGCTGGTGTAATTCCATTAAATGATGATGTACAAATGTAAATTATTTCGCCCGTCACTGCTGCAGAAACTAACTACTAAGACGGCGGCTGAACTACCCACGAAGTTACGAATAATTTGTGTGCGTCTCTCGTTCCAAATATGTATGTGGATGCGCGGCACGCAGGAAAGTAAGCCTATGCAAATCTCTTACCGGAGTTTTTCCTCAGCTCTCTGTCTGTCGGTGTAGTCTTTCTTTTTTTTTTTTTTGTCACACTTTTGTTGAGCACTCGGTTAGACATTTAATATAATCTGCTTATAGCTGTCAATTGGCAGTTCGTAGTCACTCATTCGTCGGCTGTAGTGTAAGAATTGGGCCCAGCACGTACAGCTGTGAAGGTGGGTGGGAGGTAATCCTCGAGGGGGGTTTCATTTAAAGCACTTTATTATTTCCTTCATTTTGTTTTTTTTTTTTTTGAATTCGTCTTCATAAGATGGGATAGGAAAAGGAAACGTACGAAGAAAGGGCTGCACTAAAGAACTGTGTATACAGCTGAAACAGATGTGGATTGGAAGTTTGAATGCCCGTTTGTTGCTATCATTGTATTGTGGAATGTTCTTCGAAACAGTTTTTTTTTTTTTGTTGTTTTGTATACTATAAACGCCTGCCAGTAGGCGGTAGTTGTGAGAAAGTTTTGCAAAAGCACAGTGCGGTCCGTTTGCCTCTTACATTGAATTTATTTTACCAACATTATGTAAATTAAATTGAGTTAAATTTTTTCTTTGTTTATATTTGATGATTGAGTTAAGCTTGAAAGGAAATTTGCGAAGCATAAACCAAAACTTATAATAAAAATTGAAATTTAATAATTCCGGCATGAATTTGCAATGTTAATATGAATTCCATGTGGCATTGGGAAAATATGTAAATTTTGAATATAAAAACATGCCAATACAGTGGTGGCAAAAATGAATGAAAACATGTGATTTTTAAGTTTTTAAGAATAAAACTTTTTTACGGATTTTTCTGCTGTTAGAATGAAGTTTTAAATGCTGGGTGTTTACACACATACTCAATTAACTAGACACAATTAATGTTTGAGAGCTCATTCAGCTTTTACTCAATTTTTAGAAATTGTCCTTTGAGTAACGCAAACTTTTTTTATTACAGTATCATTTTTTCAATTAAAAATTAAAAAACCTGTGTTCACACACACTCAATTAAGTTGAAACAATTAATATCTAACAGCTGATTCTGCTTTTTCAAATATTTTTCTTTGAGCAATACAAACAAATTTCCATTATATAATCGCTTTTTCAATTAAAAATTAAAAAACCTGTGTTCACACACACTCAATTAAGTTGAAACAATTAATATCTAACAGCTGATTCAGCTTTTATATTTTATTTAAATATTTTTCTTTGAGCAAATACAAACAAATTTCCATTATAGAAGCGCTTTTTCAATAAAAAAAATAAAATCCTGTGTTCTCACACACTCGATTAAGTTGACCCAATTAATATTTGACAGCTAATTTTTTTATAGCCCTCATAGGTATGCCGTGATCTGAAACCGAGTGGCTCGCATTAATTACTATTATTAAGAAGGCCAGCATTCGAGCCTTGGACCGAAGAGCATAGCAAAATTATAGAAAAAGAATTATTTTAAATTCGGTCACATCACCCCCGGAAAAGCCAAGCCGTCCTAGTGTGTTTCGGATGTGAAATTTTTATTTCTCCTCATAAAAAACCATTGGCTGTTTGGAAACAGCTTAGAATAAACCTACATTTGTTGGAAAAGCATCAAAATGCAAACCACACATTGGAGGAGTGGACGTTCGGCCAAATATCGCTTCAGCGGTTGCAAAGCGCCAGTTGCACACTCTTATATGTACATATTCACTCTCATATATATATTAATACTCACTAAACTGGTCAATTCTACTAATTTTCAGTTATTTTTTTTTAATTGCATTGTAATTAGCGCTAATTGAGTGTCTGTGTGAACAATGTTTTTAAAGGAAAAAAAAATGTGTGTGCACAAGTAAAACAATTAATTTCAGTTCTTTCAAGTCAATATTTATTTATTTTTTTTAATATACACATATTTGGCATTTTTAATTTACATAAATACATATGTACATACGTACATACATATGTGTTTTAAAGCTTTGGACGGCTCTTCAAAATCTCGATACACCCTCATTGCACTGCGTATTCACACCCAAACGTACTATATGATTGGTATCAATATCTGAATCGATTAGTTGCGAATCATCATCCGGTATGGTTTCAATATCTACATCCTGATAAAAGGTTTCCAGCTGTGTTGACAAGATTTCATTATCCCGAAAGTTTTTGCCACAATCCATTGGCACAACCGAAGTGTGCTGAGTGTGCTGGTCTTGAGTGTTGTTGGTCTTTGGTAGTTGGTGCGTTTGAAATGTGCTTAAGCAATTTACTGCTTGATTAGCATATAAAATATTATCACAATTGTCATCGGTGAAGCCAAAATTGATGCGCCTTAACTCCGTCTTAATGGCAAGCAATTCGGTTAGACAGTACTTGAACGAGGGTCGCTCATCCGGTTGCCAAGACCAGCACTTTAGCAACAAATTAAAGCTGTAAATAAACATACAATCATACATACATACATACATACATATATATATATATATATATATATATATATATATATATATATATATATATATATATATATAAATACATATATGGTATTAGCAGTTAGTTAGTAATTAACTCTTACAATTTATCCGTACAATTTTCCGGCTTCTCTAGTCGGCCACCATCTTTGACATAGCTCAGCACTTCATAATTATTACGCGCCACATATGGCTGCTGACCCAAAGTGAGTATCTCCCAACAGAGTACACCGAACGACCACACATCCGTTTGGGTTGTGAAAATGCCATCAATAAGACTCTCTGGCGCCATCCAACGCACTGGCAGGAGACCCTCACCCTCCTTGCGATAGTAATCGCTTTTGTATATATCACGCGCTAAACCAAAATCACCAATTTTCACCATACGCTTGCTGGGATCGCTCGAGGATACCAAACAGTTGCGGCAGGCGAGATCACGATGTACAAAATGCATATTTTCGAGGTAACTACAGCCATTGCAGACGTCAATGCACATGGAGGCTAAGTCGAGGAGTTTTAAGGTGGCCACAGGACGCTGGAAATAAAAAGAAAAAATAATAAAAATAATAAAATAATAAAAACATATAAAAAACATGAAATAAAAATGTAAAAAAAAATTTAAAAAAATTTAAAAGAAATTTAAAAAAATTTAAAAAAATTTAAAAGAAATTTAAAAAAAAATTAAAAAATTAAAAAAAAGAAAAAAAATCAAACAATTTGTTTTGCTTATTTTTTAAATTAACAAATTCAGTACGAATCTCAGATCGAAATTCCCACAAATTTCCTTCAAAATCACGAATACAACACTGAAAAACCACAAATTTGCTTATTGTGAATGAATGGTGTGTAAAAAGAAGAATAAGCATAAACGTCAAAGAAAATATTTTTACATGAACAGAAGTGGAATACAAATTTTGTAAACGGAAACAAAGCCAAAAGTGCAAGAACAGTGATATTATCATATAAGCTCCACCGATGCTACAGAGAGGAAGACCGCTGATTGAAATATGTGCAAGTAAGAATATGAAAGAATAATCGTGTGCTAAGAAAATAATATTGAAGCGATTTTCCGCTGAACTCCTGCTTCAATTCGCAGCGTGCGTCTTATTGTATTTTCCAGCAAAACGGAGGTATGGTCACGGTATTTTTATGAGAGGCCTTTATTTTCTGGCAGAAATGAACTCGGTTTTTGATTGGTTGAACATCTCCTTGCCGAAAAACGAGCGCAACTATCGTATTAGCATGACGAGTTGCGTTGATTTAATCATAACCGGCTGTGCGTCTGTTTGTACGGAAACTAGTTCACAGATTCACTGGCACATTTAAATTATCATATTTTTAAGATTTGAGATTTTGAGCCATAAATTTGTCTATCTACGCTATATCATATTGCTCCTATACAACCGATTTCTTCAGCTATGAGGGTTCGTTTAAAACTCCAGCCGAAAATTCTCGAAATCGGAGATTTTTTCAGAAATGAGTATTATTATTTAATCTCAAAATGAAATATCATTAACGGTATGTGGTCATAAAAGGTACAGAAAGACTTAGACATGTTTCTTCCTTGTTTCTTAATCTTTTTGAGTGAAATATGTAGGTTAAAGTGTTTGCCGTTCTCAAATAGGTCCATGTGATCCGCGAAAAATTTTCGCTAACTCTACGTCTCCTCACTTACCATTCATTCACTCACACTCTCTTATGATGTGTTTATCTCACTTTCTTAAGCTTCTAACACACTTGCAAGGCTATAATAATAAAAAACGACTCCGATATGGCAATGTCTACCTCTACTTAGTGCTAGGCAAACGTATAATAGGTGAAGAATTCACTCTTTCTCCCCTTCCTAGCTTTTAGAGTGTCTCTTAAGGGAGTCTCCTAGCCTCGCTGTGTGTACCACCATAAGGCAATGTCACATCATCATTTGAAATGTTCTCATTTTACAGAAAATATAAGCCATTCGACCACCGCTGTTAATATGTCGGCTATGAGTAACTCAACTTGCGAGAGGTCAAGTTTTTCTTCTACCTTAACGCGACTTAAGAAGCAGTTTTGGTATGCTTCGAGGCATAACATTTCATTATTTCTTCGCAAAAAGCTGCTTAGTCGTCATACCTTGCCAGCAATTCCTCTGTCTCTCCCTCTCTCTCTCTTTTTCTCTCCCCTCCCTCTCGCTCCCTCTACCTATCTCTATTTCTCTTTCCATCTCCCTCTCTGAGCAGGAAACCAAATGTCTGATAGTCTGTACTGTTCAGTCAGCTACTGTAAAGAGATCAGCATCAGCCCAATACGATTTTAGAGTTTGTCGTTATGGAGCCCACAGCTTTAATTACTCTCACACAGTCACTGAAGGTAAAGATGTCCTCTGCGAGAGTATTCAATGTGTTGAAGCTTAATAAAAATCTTTGAATTCCAAGCGGCCGAAGTTATGGACAATCTCTAGTCTTTATAATAAAGCTAACCGCTGAAACGATCTTTCGGCCGAGCTCCTCCTCCAATTTGTGGTTTTGCGTCTTGATGTTTTTTCCAACAAATGGAGGGACCTATAGTTTATATGGTTTGATGGTTTTTTTACGAGGAGCCTTTATTTCATGTCCGAAATACACTCGTAGGGGTGGACATTCCCTGTCGAATAAAGCTAAATTCTTGGCCATAATATTAAATTATAAACGTTTTATGTCTTCTTGAAAATCACATTTCTAGAAAAAACACCCTTTATAAGAAATTTAAAAGAATTTTCACCATAATTTTGATTGCTTTGAAAACATTTTCGTGGCACACAGCTTTTTTTCTGGAAAACAGCTGTTCCATTTAAGTACAACAAAAAATGAAACCCAGTCCATTCACAATAGTGCACTTTCCACGCACTCAACTTCACGCTCGTCAAATTTGTGGTGAAAACCGAAAAAAATTCACTTAAATACCTTTGAATTTGGCCTAGAGTTTCGTAGATAACTCAACAAATCGCCCGCCTCCATATGCTCCATAATTATCGATATCGATTCCGTGTCAAAGCAAACACCGATAAGTTGTACAATATTCTCATGCTTGAAATTGCTCATTAGTTGGGCCTCCTGCAAAAGTTCAGCAAATTCGGTGGCGCCTTTACGCAAACTCTATAAAAACAAAAAAAAAACAAAAATAATAATAACAAATAGTTAAAAATTTAAATTTTTTTCGTACAAAAAACAGAAAAGAAAGGCAAAAAAAAAGTCGGTCAAACTTACTTTGATGGCAACTTTTTCTTGTTCCTCCGAATTTGCATGCTTTATTAAACCCTCGTACACCTCACCGAATGCGCCACTGCCCAAAAAATTCAATATCGTCAGCTGGCTCCAATTGATGTGCGGCAATAAAGCGATGTCCGCATCACTTAACGGTCCACCTGTGTACAGTGTGCCATGACTTGCGGTGGAAAAGGCGCGATTGCGTGAGGCTACCAGCTGCTGATGCTGTATGGTGGATATGGTGCTCCATATGCTCGGCCGACTCTTCTCAAGCAACTTTTTAGCCTTCTGACGGCGCGTGTGCACTAGAGATGAAAATTTGAGGGAAATTTTGAAAAAAAAATATATATATATATATATATAATAATATTAAATTTGAATTTTTTGCAAACGTACATGAGCGCAACAGTACTAATATCAGCACGAATGACGAAACAATCGCCGCTGGTGTTATGATGGCCAAAACGAGTGAATCGCGCTTTTCGGGCGAAACGAAAGGTTCGGAAATCCGCTCGCTATCCAAGCTGTAAGGACCCCAGCCGTAGAGCGTGTTTTTGGCGCGCACGCGAAACATTAACAGTCGCTGTATGTAGATCTCGCGTATAATGCAGCTCAGCGCGCTGGTATTGCAAACGACTAACCATTTATCTTCGATAGGTTGCGGCTCTTCGGCCCAGAGCGTTTCATTTTGATTAATAATTATCGAATTATTTATGTAATCTTCATAGCTGCGTCTAACGCGTCTGACATTGCGCGCCTGTAACGCTTCCAGCGAATACAATGTTATTATTTCACCATTACTTGGCGCCTGCTCCCAAAATATTCGAAAAACATCACCCACAGTGTGCTCGATCTGCGGTTGGCCCGGCCGTCCTGGCGCCGCGCCGAGAGTTTCAAAAACAAACTGTTCATTCGGCAATTCTGGCCAGATGTAGGCTTGTTGCAGCGTATTATAGAAAATCTCCAGCACGAATTGATATTTAGTTTTCGGCTCCAAATCCGGCACCACTATCGCTGTTGTATTCTGTGTTATGTCAATGCTAAACTCATTCTCGCCATTCACTTCTTGACATGCCAACACCGCTCTGCTCACATTGGGCGCGATAACCCAGCTTAAAGTTAAATTACTCGCAGTCTTCTTAACCAGCCATAGCCGTGTTGGTATTTCGAATGTTTTGACTGTAAGCGTTGTGCTCGTGTTGTATTTTTCCACCGTGGCAAAGACGTTTAACCAAATTTTATACTCCACCGAGTGTGCCAGATTGGTGAGCAAAAAATTTAAACCACTCAAACGCTTGTGTTCTGCACGCGCCTCCGCCATCGCCGTGGTGTCTTGCCAATGTAATTCATACCAAACGCTTGCGCAATTCGGTTTCAACGGCGTTTGCCAGCTGACGTAGATTTGCGATGGATTCAAGGCGTGCGCGGTGAAGTTTCGTGGTGCGCTGGGCGTGCCAACAGCTGTGCGTACGGACATCACCTCGGAATACCATTCGTCCAGCTTGAGCTTGCGCTGATAGTACGAGGATATGGACAATTGTAGTGTGTAGTTGGTGTATGGCGTAAGTTCCGTGACGTTTAGTGTGTGCTTGAGCGTCGTGTGACTGCGTGAGAACTGCTCATTGTCCGTAAGCCAGAGCGTGTACTTCAAGCCGGGTATTTTGAGTGCACAATTTTGTATTTCATGCAGTTTACTGAATTTCATGCTCAAAAAACTTTCGCCTACGGCAGTTATTTTGGGATTTAATAAATGTTTGTGTGCCTGTAAGGCGTCGTGCGCTGGCAGTAGACACGTTGGCGCTGGAAAATTTTGATAATTAAACGCCTTTATAGTTTTTATATCTGTTATGTTCACTTCAAGCGCAGAGGTTTCCTTACGCGCATTGTACGCGTAGACACGCCCACTTTCCAATACATATACAAAATTATTATCACGTTCTATTTTAGTGATTTTTTCCACGGCATTTTCTGCCGCAAATCTCTTTACGCTGCCGCATCTACGCTGTTCAATATCGTAATTACAAATATTACCGTTATCAGACAGCAAATCAACGGTTAACGCATTTGATGCATACATTTTACGATACGGCGCAATATCGTACGCTATCTGCGTATCATTCTCCAGCGCGCGACCCACAAGCGCTGCCGTATGCGCGCTTACGTCAAACTCTAGCCACAGCAGCGTATTTGCATACGGCAGCACCGTCAGATCGCGCACTGTCTTGCCACTTTCGAGCGTGAACAGTTTATTGGGCAACATTACTTTGCCCTCGAATTGGCACAAATCGATAGCGTATATGGCAACAGTCTGCTCATCAGCCGCCGCCAGCTCGGCCCAGTAGACGATGCGCTGCAACCAGTCCACCGTCATGGCGAGCACTTCCGCGCGCATTCTGGCCAACTTCACTGGTTTCGCGCCGCTTGTCACTGTCATGAGCTCTACATTTTCATTCACCCACAAAATACGCTGTTCGCTGGGCATAAACGCCAAATGCTCAACCTGACTAACGGTGCGCACAATAACGGTATGCGCGTGCAAATCTAAATCATACAACGCTATAAACTCACTTGTCGAAAATAGAAATGCCGGCTGCATTTGCAGTTCGGGGTTAAGCTTCATGCGCACAGTGCTATTCTGTCCGCCGCTCGAAATTCCCGGTATGAAAGTTTGCACCTGAAAGACATAAGTCTCGCCAGCTTGTAGACCAGCTATGACAGACTCAAATTGCGTGTCGTCAATGCTCGCGTTGTGCACGCGTTCGTCGACGAGTGTGTCGCCATGCCAGCAATAAACTTTATAACTTACTTCCGCATAGGGATTATCGATTTCGGGCGCCACCCAGCGCACGAGCGCGCTGAGATTGTTGTGCGCCACGAGCGCATTATTTGTATATTGTATGAACACACGCATTTGACGCGGCGCATTCACGCTCGTGCTGGGCACATGAAGTTGCGCAACTGTAGTCGGACCCCGAAGCCATGGTGTACAAGGTGTTATGCTTACATTGAAGATTGCAGGCATTGCTGGCGTCTCTGTGTGTCGTATGTACGATTCGTTGGTTCTATAAGCGACAGCTGTGTGATTATCCGCTGTCATGTACGCTATGAGCACGTTGTAGTGGATTGTCTGATTTTCGGCGCTATTCACTGGCTGCCACTTGATGAGCCATTCATCGGTGTAGGCCTGATTGAGGCGCACACTTTTCGCATCCACAGCGTCGGGCACAACGGACGCGTCGCGCGTTTGTATGTAGCGCGCTAATAAATTGAAGGAAGTGATTTTATATAGCTGTGGCAGCGCCAACTTCACCTCATTGGCATGCGGCAACGTGCTTAAGAAAATAAGTGACGGGGTATTGGACTGCAACCAGACCAAACTGTCTATTTCATGTAGAAACTTCAAAGAACCAATTTCTATGTCATTTTCTAATATCCTTATTTGTACGTCCACCTCCTTCTGCTTCTTTTCCTCCTCCTTCTGCTTCTCCTCCTCCTCCTTCTCCTTCTCCTTCTCGTCAGCAACAGCAGCAGTAGCAGCATCATCATCAACATCGAGTGCTGTTGCAGCGTTTGGCGCATCGATGTTGGTGCGTTGCAATTGAACTTCGCCATTCGCCTTACGTACCACCCAAAAGAGCCTTCGCCCCACCAAATCCAATGTAAAGCCACGTATTACATCGTCATATGTGCTGACATGGTAATACTCATATTCATCTGTGTCAAGCGCGTAGTCGCCCAAAGCGCGTCGCACCAGTCGTACGCCTGTCGTATAGTAGATATAACCATTACTGGCATCCACTACGATGTGTCGTGCACCGTATATGGGCAACAATTCACGTTGACTGCCATCTAAGTTCGCTCTGAGCACACAATTTCTCAGCGCATCCACCCAATACAGCTTGCCACCACGCCACTCATACGACAAGCTCATTGCGTTTGTCGCTGTAAATGAGCAATTTATCTCAGGATTCATGATGTTCGCACACTGCAAGCGCTGATTGTTCTCGTCTATGTAGTATATTGTTGCATTCAACTGTACGAAATTTTGTACATTTTCCATTTGACCGACCTGCTCTACATGTTCACCGGTCTCATTTATCTCGTATATGCCCCCAAGGCCTGCCACCAGGAATTTGTATGCCCCAGTGGGCCATGTACGTGTCAGCAAATCGGCGGACCAGTAGCCGAGTGTGGTGTCGTGTGCGTTGCGTACACGAAACTTGTATAAATTATTCGCTTGTAATTTCTCGACATTAAAATAATTTGACTTTATATTGCGTATATTAAAGGCGCTATTGCTGGCCACATCCATTATTTCAAGTTCATAGCTCCACTGCTGCCAGGCGTATGCCGTTTGGTAGGGGTTAAGTGCGGGTGCGTTCCAAGTAATTTTCGCCATGTTGGCGGTGACTAAGGCGTTCAAGTTTTCGGGTCTCTCCCTTGGCGCTGGCTGCATTTGTGCTTTACGTGTGAGTGGCAAAATGTGCCAACACCATTCTAAGTCCCTTGCGACTGTGAGTTCAAGTTCATTTGTATTGAAATTCTTGCGCATTAAATGTGTGCCATTAGTGGCTATCATTTGCACGCCACTGTACCAGAAACTTTGTATGTGCTTCATGTCGGCGTTTAGTTTCAGTTGCAGGCTGCCCTTGTATTCAGCATCGTAGGTGGTTTCGTAAAATTCGGCATCGCTGGTATTGTAGAAAACGATTAGGCTTCGTTGATAGTCATTCGTAAAGGAGCCTACATCGCTTCGGAGTATGGCTGCGGTGTGATTTTTAGCTAGATCTGTCCTTAGCAGGCTGCCTTTATTCATTTCATTTCATTTCAACATCGCTTCGGAGTATGGCTGCGGTGTGATTTTTAGCTAGATCTGTCCTTAGCAGGCTGCCTTTATGCAACCAAAAGAGCCAACCATTTATGGGATCTACGTCCAGCTGTTCGATGCGTTTCGTTAAATTCTTACTTACAAATCTATCGACATCCCCATTGAAATCTGTGCAAATTATTGCCCAATGGTCGTCAGGTGCCTGCAATTAAAAAAAAAAAGAAGTGAAAATAAAGGAAAAAATAATTAAAGATAAAAATGCAAGGCAAAATAAAAATGAAGAAACCAATAATTAATAAAATAATAAATAAGAATAGAAGAACAAAAATAAAAAACCATTAATTAATAAAAAAATCAACAAAAATAGGAGAGTAAAAATAAAAATTAAATATAAGGTAAATAGACAGATTATTTAAAAAATCTTAATTGAAAAACAATGAATTAAATGAAAAAAAAGAAAAAAACCGAATAAAAATTGAATTAAAACAAATCGTATGAAAATTCAAAAAAATAAAAAATAAAAATAAATTCGAAAAAGATAAAAGCAGAGCAAAAGTTGAATTAAAACAAGTGGTAAAAAAATAAAAATAATATAAACAAATAAAAAAAATAAAAAATTAATAAATACATCCAAATAAACTCCAAAATAAAAAAAAGTCTAATATAATACAAATTTATAAATCTCCTAAACTTCAAATTAGAAAGGAAAAATTAAAAAATAACATTTAAATAACATAGAATAAATAAAAAAGGCAATGCGAAATATTAAATTAAAAATTTATAAATAAATCAAATTAATCTCCAAAATAAAAAAAAATAATATAGAGATATACAAATTTATAAATCTCCAAAATTTCAAGTTAAAAAGGAAAAATGAAAAAAAAAAATAAATAAATTAATAAAATAGTATAAATAATAATCAAAACCACCTATTAACTACTTATGTATAATTTACCTCTATGGCGACAAAAAGCAATTTATTTAGCCAATCGACGGTAATTTTCTTTGGTTTAAATTTATCTAATTTGTCTGAGATCGGTATAAGCGTTTTTTCCTTATCGCCATCTAATGAAACTCTGTGAATAGACAATAAATTTTTTATTTTAGTTTAATAATGAAAATATCATGTCAAACTTGTCATTTCATCATTTTTTTGTTTATTGATTTTTTCAATTGAATTTTGTTACATTTTATATTATTTTATTATACTTTACTAAATTGTAGCTAATTTCATTTAAATCCATTTTGTTTGCTTTCATTTTATTTTGTTTCACTTATTTTTTTTTAATAAATTTAATTTTGTTTTTTTTTTTTTTGGTTTTATTCTAATTATTTTATCTCATTTTATTTCGTTTCTTTTATCTAATTTATTTTAATTTTATTTTATTTTACATCTTACTTCATCCTTTATTTTATTTTGTGTATTATTTTCTTCTATTTAAGTTTTTCATATTAATTAATTTAAAATTAATTTTATATTTTGTTTTATTTCATAATCTATATTTTATTTTTGTTTATTTAACTTCGTTTCATTTTTCTTCATTTATTTAAATTTATATTATTTTACTTTGTTTTATTTTATTTATACTTTTATTTAATTTTTTCTCTGCTTATTTAATAGTTTATTATAATAAATAAAAAATAAATAAATATATAGAATTATTCTCATTATTTTATTTCGTTTCTTTTATCTAATATTTATTTTATTTTATACCTTACTTTATACTTTATTGTATTTTATTTTATTTAGTGTATTAATTTAACTTTTATTTTGTTTTGTTTAAGTTTTAATGTTAATTAAATTAAAATTAAAATTAATTTTAAATTTTTTTAAATTTTATAATTTATATTTTAGTTTTTTTTTTCATTTCCTTTTCGTTTTTACTTTTTCTTTATTTAATTTTATTGCATTTTATTTATATTTTTAATTAATTTTTTCTCTCTTTATTTTATAATTAATTATAATAAATCAAAAATAAATAAATATTATTTAATTTTTTTCCTTCATTTTTATATATTATTTCATTTTAATTTATTTCATTTTATTTATTTTTTTTCTTTTAATTTATTTCAATTTATTTTATATTTTAATTTATGCTGTTTAATCTGATATAATTCATTTCGTTTTAATTTTTATTTATTTAAGTTTATTTTATTTTTCTCTGTTTTATTCTATTGCATTTTATTTTAATTTTTTTCTCTCATTATATTATATATTTTTATTTTGTAATTAACTTTAATAAAACAAAAATAAATAAATTTTATTTAATTTTTTATCTTTCGCATTTTTTTTTAATTTATATTTTATTTTATTTTTAATTTTTCATTTTATTTATTTTTTTTCTTTTATTTTATTTCAATTTATTTTATATTTTAATTTACTCTGTTTTATTCTGATTTATTTCATTTCGTTCTAATTTTTATTTATTTAAATTTATTTTATTTTCCTCTGTTTTATTTTATTGCATTTTATATTAATTGTTATTTAATTTTTTTCTCTCATTACATATTTTTAATTTATAATTAATTATAATAAATAAATGTTATTGCATTTTTTATTTTTCGAATTTAATTTTAATTAATATTTTATTTCTTTATATTTTATTTATTTATTTTTTTATATGTTTGATTTTTATTTTATATCATTTTATTTATTTCAGCTCATTTTATTTTATTTTATTGCAATTTATTTTATATTTTACTCTATTTGATTTCGATTTCTTTCGTTTCCTTTTTTGTTTATTTTAGTTTATTTTATTTACATTTTTATTTTTTTTCATTATATTTTTTAACTAATTTATTTTTTAATTATTGCATTTTATTTTTATTTTATTTTATTTTATTTTATTTTATTTTATTTTATTTTATTTTATTTTATTTTATTTATTTTGTTTTATTTTATTTTATTTATTACATTTTATTTTATTTTATATTTTGTTTTTATTTTTATTTTTTCTATATTATTTAATTTTTATCGCACCTTATAATATTCCCCGCGGTATCTATGATGAACGCAATGTGTTGGCCATGAAAAGAGTAGAAAGCATAATCTAAAATGAGATTTTCGCTTTCGAAAACCAATTCAGTGTCCGTTAGAGAATCAAAACTTTTGATTCTAATACTGTATTCTCCAGCTACAATGACAAGATCGATGTTATCGGAGTTTCCATACAGTGGCGCTGGCTTTGTTTGTACATATGTTTGAAAAATAGGACCTTCACCATTAGCATTCAGCATGGCTAATTTGAAAGTATAATACGTAGCTGGCAATAAATGAGCAAAAACAAATTTTCTGCTGTCGGGCGGCAAGACCTATTTGGGTTGAAAAGTTAAATATTTTATAATTTAGTGAATTTTTTCTTTTAAGAATTTCCACTTGTAATACCAGTTTTTGTAATGTGTTTGTAGTCTCCAGTGTGAGCTTGAAGCCTGTTAAGGGACCACAAGTGAAAGCGCCCGTCTGCCAAAAAGTGGCGATGTGATTGTGATCCAGCGCGAAAGCCGCCGCCAACACCGGCTTCGAGAGTGGTGGCGCTGCAGCTGCTATGCTAAACGGCGCTGTTGGTGGTGAATATAGAATTTGTTCGCTGAATTCGCCTAAATCGAGTTTGAAACGAAACTGTGGTGTGAGAAGAGAGAAAATATTTAATTACATATCATAAATTAATTTCGCCGCATTTTATTGCAACATTTCGACTCACTTTGTACACTGCGTAGGGTATCAGCTCATCAAACAGTTCGCAGTCGAAATTTCGCTTACAATCGAAGTTCGCTAAATTTCGCCAACTCTGTGGCGCAGTTATATTTTCGATGTCTTCGTATTTATATTGTATATGTATGCTGAACTGATGGTTAGCGTAGAAATGTTCCGGCAACGAGATGTTCCAAAACAACTTAATGGTGTCGGTGCCGGTGTCGGTGTCATTTAATATTTGTATAAATGGAGTTTCCTGTTGGAGTGTCGCTTTAGCCATTTGCATTTGTTGCGCCCAATACATGTTTTGGCTGAGTGCACAAGCAAAGGTGCAGGCTAAATCAAGGCTATGCAATTGTGGTGAAATCTGAGACGGTGTAAAGGGTAAACGTGGGAATAATTATCGGAAGCCTTGTAAATATCGTGCGAACATTGTAAATTTTGTACTCACGTATATACATATGTACATACAGTACATGCATACCGATTGGTGTATGCGCAATATGTATCTACTTACACATATTTCCTGACAGGATTCAGTGTCGCTTAATGTTTCCTTCCATTGTTCGCATCCTTTTGTGCACTGCAAGAATTGGTTAAACTCCATAAATTTGAAATATACAAATATCGTCTGTCTGCATGCAAATGTTTTGTGCATATACATACATACACATGTATGTAGTTGTAATAATTTTATAATTTTCAATAAAAAATTAAAAAAAAAATTAATAAGAAATCGCGGAGACTTCTTATCCAAAAGAGATTTGTTTTAGATATTTATTTTATCTTTTAATAAAATATTGAAAAAGAAACATAAAAGTGGTTTGCAAAAATAAGGAAGACACCAAATGACCTAATTTATTTTATTTATTTAAACTGTAAGCAGCGGCGGCGGAGTTAATTTTCTTCAACGACAGTAGAGCGAGTAAAAGCGAGAGAGACATTTTTTTTAAACAAGAATAAGTTTATGTACATATATTCTGTTAAGACTTTTTCAAAGAAAAAAAAAAGTTTGTATAAAAATATACTAGTCAAACTTAAACTAGTTTGAGACTTGTCTATTTGTGAGTGATGTGTAACAATTGCTAGCTACTTTAAAATGTTTTTACTTTATATACTACATTTCAAAAAAAAAAAACAGCACAAAATACTAATTTAGCTACAAAGAGAAACTAGTCCATTTTCATGTTTTTGAGACTAGGATTTTTCCGGCTGATATCTAACCTATGCTGTAATCTTTCAAGCTGTTATTATCTATGTATTATATATTTATTACCTTTAACAACTAATCACAGACTAGTCAAAATTTGACTGTTATGCAATATATGCTGTCCATTTCAAATTTCTTTCCTTATATATTATATTTATATAGAAAAAAATATTAAATCTTAATTTTAATACGAAAATAAACTGGTCCACTTTCAACTAGTTCGAAATAAATTAAATTTTTGAATGATATCTCACCAACTCTAATTGCTTTAAATATATTTTTTAATGCTTTTTCAAAAAAAAAAAATTGTTTTTGGTACGAAAATAAACTGGTCCATTTTCAACTAGCTCCAAATGGATTAATTTTTGAATGAAATTTCACCAACTCTAATTGCTTTAAGTATTATTTTAATGCTTTAAACAATTTTTTTTTGGTACGAAAATCAACTGAACCATTTTCAACTAGTTCAAAATAAGTTAATTTTTGAATTAAATCTCAACAAATGTGAATGCTTTATGTGTTATTTTTAATATTTTTTCAAATAAAAAAAAAAACTGTTTTGTAAGGTAAAAGACATTAGTTTTGTAGCGCAAATAAACTGGTCCATTTTCAACTAGTTCGAAATAAATTAAATTTTTGAATGAAATCTCACCAACTATAATTGCTTTAAGTATTATTTTTAATGCTTTTTCAAAAAAAAAAAATTTTTTTTTGGTATGAAAATAAACTGGTCCATTTCTAACTAGTATGTGCCTAGCATTTTTTATGCCCGAGTTCTAGAAATTTTTACCTTTTGGCATATTGCCGTGTAAAAAGGCAACGGTACATATAAATGGAAAAATTAATTAGCTATTTTCGAAGTAGTTCACGTTGATTGCTGAGTATATTTAGGCTCTTAATTCGATAGCTTTTACACATACATTTGCACAGGGTTTTCAATTTTTATATGCATACATACATATATGTAGGCATTTATGTGTACTTACTCTGCGCCTGAAACACAAGGGATTATCACTATCCGTTCCACATGCCAGTCCATATTCGTTCGCAAAGTTATTTGCCTTTGGAAAATCAAAGAAAAATAATTCGATTTAAATTTATGAAATTTAATAGTATATGAAAGTGTATGTATTATATAAATAAATATAATATTGTAAAAAAGTGTTATAAAAAATAATGTGTGAACTTCGAGAAATGTTATAATTGCGAGTAAATTATGGAATTTATTAATAATTTTTTTTTTTTTTTCAATAAACCTTCATTTCCCACACGGTTGCAGTTTTTTTCGCAACACCACTGAAGGTTAATTATGTGAAAGTGCACATAATTATTTAAATATGGTTTCAGTTCAATTATGAAAGTACGCGATTTTCCCATTAGTCTGCAGCTTTTTAATTTAATTTTTATTTTTTATTTTTTTTATTTTTATTTTTTTTTTTGTACTAAAGTAAAAAGTGAATTTTGTGTTGAAAGTCACGTTTTGTTGCGTTTAAAAGAGTGGGAGTAAATATATATGTACATATATTAGTTATAAATTTAATATGTGGGCATGACTCTTTCAATGTCGGCTTGGAATTCGACCTTGGGTGGAACTTAAATGGTTGGTTCTTCAGGTCACATTCGTAGCTAACATACATATATACAAACCGTAGTCCTTTTTGACTTTAGCTATCCAAAAGTACCACTCCTTTTCTCTCTCTTTCCCTCACCAACTGGTATTCCATCAAAATATATTAACAGGTCCACTGGAAAATTTCCCTACCTACCCTAATAAAATACACCTTTTTACCAAAATTAGTTTTTTTATTCAAAATGGCACTCTTCAAAAGTGATATACGGATTATAGCGATCCTGGAACCATTTTTGTAAAACTAGGATTAGTGCTTTGTCTCAAAATAGACCTCAGTTTCAGCGATCACCGCTTCATACGACGAAAATTTATTTTCTTCTCAGCGAGCATTGTTTTGAGACTTGCAAACAGCGAATAGTCGCTGGGGGCTAAATGTTACTTCTAAAAGTTAGTTTGAATCCCGAATACTTTCTCTGAACTGCAATAAACAAACGAGCGCTACTTCCACGGCGAGATCTCTTCAAATGGGCTCAGTCTGATCAACTTTAACTAAATCCGAAATGCCAAGTTCCTTGTCCGATTTGCTGTGTGCCTTTTGATGTTATTCCAAAAATGGCTGGTCCTAAAGCTTATACAATGTCAGTACGAAGGCCTATGGATTATTATGACGAGATTTGATCATCATAAAATCATGAAGTCGCGAAATACACAAGGAGGGCTTGACATTCCCTACCGAAGGCCGTAAAATATGTATTTTCTATAATTTTGAATGTTTGATCAGACTAGGAAAAGTTCGTATTTCAAAGAGGAAAAGTTGCTATCGCAATAGCCAGCGATCAAACGTCTGCAATAACGTGAAAGGAAGCCAGAAAGGTACCAGAAATAGTCCTCGAACATCAGTCAAGCCTACTACTCTTTCCCGCGCCGTCACGTAATGGGAGAAATGGGCCGAAGGCAAGGCGATCTTACAGTAAATACGCTGATTCGCAAACGTGCTGTTCAGTTGGAGGGGTTGCCAAAAGGTTCATAGTAACTCCGCTTAAGCTCCCACTAGGAGGGTGGGAGGGTCATGAGTTCGAGCCATGATTAGACCAACATCCGAAATTATAGATAACTAATTGTAGAATTCTCACTCTTTAAAAAAAATATCGAGACGCTTGTTGCTGATTTGGCTTCTGTTTCTTCTTCTGCTTCTGCTTTCTCTTTTACTCTGCTTTCTCTTTTACTCTGCTTTCTCTTCTACTTCACTTTCTTCGTTTACTTTCTCTTCAGCTTCTACTTGTGCTTCTTCTTCTTTTGCTTCTTCAAATCTGCTTTCTCTTCTTATTTTCTTTCTTCGTTTACTTTTTCTTCGGCCTCTTCATGTGCTTCTTCTTCTTTTGCATCTACTTCTGCTTCTGTTTCCTCTTCTACTTCTGCTTCTTCGGCTTGTGCTTGTGTTTTTTCTTCAGAGTCTGCTTCTGGCTCCTCTTCATATTTTGCTTCTTCTTCAGCTTTTTCTCTTGTTTCTAATTCATCTATTTTCTTCCTCTTATTCTGCTTCTTGTTCTTTTATTGTGGCTTTTTCTACTTCTGCGGCTTTTTCTTTCGCTGCTTCTTCTGCTTCTGCTTCTTTTGCTACGTCTTCTGCTCATTATTCTGTTTCTGCTTCTGAGTGTTCTTTTGCTTCTGTTTCTTCTTTTGCTCTGCTTTTTTTTTTCTTTTGCTACTTCTTACTCTTCTGCTTATTTGGCTTCTTCTGCTTCGTTTTCTGCTTATTCTTCTGATTCTGCTTTGAATTTGTCTTGTTCTTCAGATTCTGCGTCGAATTTTTCTTGTTATTCTTCTTCTTCTTCTGCATATGATTCATCTTTCGTCTTCTTTTTCTTCTTCTTCTTCTGCATCTAAATCATCTTTTTTCTTCTTCTTCTTCTTCTGCATCTGATACATCTTTTGTCTTCTTCTTCGTCTTGCGTCACTTGCTCGTCGTTCCTTCATTTATCTTTTCTTCGCCAATCTTAGACATCAAGTGAAGCCAGCTCTATCTCCATTTGTAATCCTTCCACCGGAGTTATGGGGTTACTCCTATCAGCGGTTACCGCATCTACATACCTCTCTCAGAAATTATCTACTCAAGATGGTTAAGATGACATTGGGTTACAGAGGGGGAGCAACAAGGTATAATTACACTATATCAAGGGTACGGAGATATTCAGACCTCACTGTACATTAAAGGAAATTCTATAGAAACTCTGATTTTTTTTTTGTATTTACTTATTCAAAGAATTCTTATAAAACGCTGCATACATACATATGTATAAGAGCTTATAAATTAGGTAAAAAAAATATGTATATATGTATGTGTGTATGTATGTTTGCATGTAGATTGCAAATATTTCGTGCATTCGGGCATTGAAATGCAGGCTAACATCTTAATCACAGTAGATACATATGTATTTATATATATGTATATGTATGTAGCCAAATTGAATGAATGTTGAGTTGATTGGCATTGTAAATGTATGTTATGATAGGCCCACAATAATAGTAATAACAATAATAATAATGGAATTACGACAGATAAATGCCCACAAGGCGGACATCTAATCATATATGTATATATATATATGTATATGTATATATATATATATATATATATATATATATATATATATATATGTATATATATATATATGTATATGTATTTTGTGTGCCAACAAAAGGCGAGAAGTGTCTGACTGAATATTTACGGGTATACATACATATGTATGTATGTGCAGATTCAATAGAAATTAAAACCTTTCTTCAGCTAACCTTGCAAATAATCGTCAAACGTCAAAGGAAGCTGCTGCGATTAATAAAAAAAATATATGTAAATATGTATATACATATATACATACATTTGCACATATTTATATTCAATTTTTTACATTTATCTTTAAGCTAATTCTTACTGCTGTAGCAACTGTAAAAATTCTTATGAATGTACATATGTATATACATATGAGTACATATATATTATATGTACATACATTTATGCGCTTACATGCTTAGCAATATACTAGTATCTAGGCTATTAATGCCAGATATCTTTGTAAATATACAAACATACATACATACATACATATGCAATGCAGGTATAACATACACGCCTCTGTACATACTTATTTAGTGACGGATGATGACGTTCAATGAAGATGTGCTCCAAATTTCCAACATAAGCAGTATGTACTTACATATATACGTATACATACATACATACATACAAAATGAACTCGTGCTTGACAGCGTTGGTAAAGTGTAACTATCGTTGCTTAGTGTAATAATGACAGAATCACATGTACAAACATACATATGTATGTGTGTATGTATGTATGTATGTATGTATATAATGAATGTGACTCGTTTTAATTGGCAAAAAAGACGTAGGCGCTAACTAGCGACCAAGCGCTTAATATTATATATAAATATATATATGTATATACATACATACATACATATACATATTTCAATGTAAGATGATATCCACTCGTTTAAATAAAGATAAATTCTCAGACACGTGCCAAGTAGGACATACTCTTAAGCTTAAATACAATACATACACACATACATACGCATATATATATTAACTACAATATATTATATATACAAGCATACCCATATAAATACCCGATAAGTTGGTCTTAGTTTAGTTGCTACTAATTAGCTGTTAATTTAAGTAAACAATTTGTTGCTATAAAAATTATTTTGTCAGCTAATTGCAGCTATACATACATATATATATGTGTGTATGTCCATATGTATGTACTTATTAGTATAGAAAGGGTAATCGGACGATTGTTGTGACAAAAAGAAAAGATTTGAAAATACAGTGTCTTCCAATAAATTGACATTTTTTGCCCTAAGAAATCGGATGAGGAAATGCGGTGATCTCCGAAACAACTGTCACTTCCACCACTTGCCTTTGTTGTATAGGAAAATATTCAATTCATACAAATAAACCAACTCACTGGAAAACTTATAACCAATTGCGCATGTTTATTTCAATGCATAGATCCGCCAAACGGCCGCCATGGGCTACACTTACAACACCGTCTTCTCTTTAAGAGATTTTCCATTAACAAATCGCAAAGTGACTGCTGCTGTATACCCTCAATGGCTTCATGAATTGCCTCTTTGAGGTATTGAAACCACATTGGACTGTTGGACAATCGCCAGGTGTTCAATCACAAGATCTTCAATTGCCAATTGCGATGAACTCTTCGTGAAATAAGACGATGTGAAAACTTTTTCGGTTAAAAGATCGAGGGTTTCGTTGCTTGTGTGGTACGTAGTGCCGTCTTGTTGAAAGTGAATTTGTTTTCAGATCAATGCCATACAATACCAGCCATAAGAAACCAATATTAATTTCTCCATTCAACGCAACTATTGCTCCAGCCTCACTTTCTAGAAGAAATAGTAAGGTCCAATGACCCCGCTGGACCATAGACCGCAGCAAACGGTTACACATTGAGGATGGTGAGGCTTTTCAACAATAAATCTTAGGTTTTCCGTGCCCCGGATGTGACAGTTTTGCTTGTTGACCTAGCCATCGCGGTGGAATGGGCTTCACCAGTCAAGTTGATTTTTCCTTGAAATTTCGAATCATTTTCAGGCATTTCAAGAGCCCAATCAGCAAGGACACGTCGTGTTGATGAACGAACGGGTAAATTGCTTGCTTTAATTGAACTTTAGAAGCCTGAAGATCCAAGTCTTTACGGAAACTACGCTGTACTCGTAATGTTACTCCATTTTTATTGTATATTTTAAAAGAAAATTTTCAAATACGAGTTTGATTTTTCCATATAGATCAGTGTCATAAGGCAAATTGAAACTATGAATAGGATTTTTCCTAAGCAAATCGGTCCGTGGTTCACTTTCAGTAAGAAAATTCTCCATACATTTCAGCTTGGCAAAGAGTCACTCACATACATACGTGTATATTCCATATGATAAGCAAAACCGAGCCATAGTATCAGCCCCAGGCCAATTTCCTGGAAGAAAAAATGTTCCCCATATCAAATCAGGCATAGAGTTAGCTATGTAGCAGGTCCACATACTGGGAAAACCTTTCGTATCGAGTGCGTACATCATACGAATAACACACACTCCAAGTCTCTGTGATCAGTGGTTTAGGCTGTGGGTTGAATCGTTAGGCATTCAGCGCAAAGCCATTTAAATACATACATATATAGATAGATAAGTATTTGAAATTAAATTTTAAAAATGTATAAATTCCTGCCGACAGATCTAAATTTTCGGAGACTTTTTGTAGCAATAATGCGACGAATATTCTCTACCAAGGCGTCAATCGTCTCGGGATTAGCTGCGAGTTCGTTTAACCCCACAAAATATATTCCAGCGGCGTTTAATTGCACGATATTGGAGACCATGCTACAAGTGCACGGCGCTAGAAAAGGCACTACCTAAGTTTCTTCCAGGATGCCAAGGTTGTGCGCTGCAACATCATCCAATTCAGGCACGTAAAAATCATCAATCATGACACTATAGCGTTCCTCATAGATTGTAAAAATATTCGGTTCGGTGCTCGGTTTCGGTAGTCATCTCGTCTTGGGCCCATATACCGAACGGCGTCGTGCTTGATGCTTGTTTGGCTGCGATTCTTGCACATGTTGGATTTTGTAAATCCGCAAACCCAGATTCTTCCGTAAAAAAATCAGAAATCATAGACTAGCAAAAATCTCTTAAGTGATTCCACTCAAAGTATTAAAAAGACTAGACCCAGCCGTTTCCACCTTACCCGGTTTGTGAAGATGATAACTCAGGGAGAGATTCCTTTCAGGAATGTTTAGTTCCTTAATTTTACTTAGTCCAGTAACAGTTTGGTCTATTTACCATCCATGCTGATCCAGAATATTGTGACGGTATATTCTATATTCGTGGTATTCCCGGTCCTTAGCTTTTCCCTGATCGTCCACAGCTCTATGAAACGTCTAAAGGCGCTAAAAGGTCTGATGCAGTCGATGGTGAGGTAGACTGACTGTCTGTGAATGACGTTTGCGGCCTCTCGCTTTTGTAACATATTGCTGAATGGATGGACATCCTTCTTGATGAGTCCGAGGCAGGTAGCTTCAAACAGGATTGTAACTGCTTCACCCCTGCGCCCTACTCGTACACAGCAAAATTTAAACCCGACTGACAATAATCGTCAAGAGTTTCTACTAAAGTCGCATTTTAGACGTCATGGACTTTGACATGCCGGTCGAGGTGGTATTTTTCTGTCCAGCTGATGGACATGATTTCTGTGTATGCCGCTGGTGATTGTTGTCAGAAACGCCTAACTGTGCAGAAGTCCGTAAGATTGGTCTTAATTTCGAATGAAGGTTAACATCAGACCAACGGGAGGGTCGAAGAGTTATCGGTTAATGAGATCAAGGTGGCACACTCTCGTGGTGTAAAAATCTGTTAACTACGGGCAGAAGTCAACACTTGGCAGAGTTTCTTGTGTCTTCTTCTTCTTCTTGATTATAGCCGCATCAATAATATCACGCCATTCGGATCTACTCTTCGCTGTTTGGCGCCAGTTGGAAATACCAACCGAAACCAGGTCACTCTCCACCTAATTTGTTCAAGGGAGTAGAGACCTTTCTCTTCCTCTTCCTCCACCAGCGGTTACTGCTTTGAATACATACAAAGGGGGAGCGCTTTCATCCATACGGACGAGCTTAGCCTGGGTCTCTTCATTCACTGAACTAACTCAATGTCATCGTACAACTCGTACAACTCAACATTCAATCGCCTGCGATATTCGTTCTTCCCTATGCGCAACGGATCAGAAATCCTATGCAAAACTTTCTCCTCGAAGACTTCCTTGGCCGAAACATCAGCTATAGACATCTTCCACGCTTCTGCGCTAAATAACAGTTGGGGAATGATGAGGAACTTGTGGAGTTTGGTTTTGGTTCATCGAGAGAAGACTTTAATTTTCAATTGTCTACTCAGCCCAAAGCAGCATCTGTTGGTAGGAATTATTCTGCGCTGAATTTCAAGGCTGACATTATTATTGCTGATAATGCAGGTGGTTAGATAGGATAGACGAAATTATCTACGACCTCGACTAAACTGGAAACTGTACCGATGTCTATTTCAACTACTTAGGTGATTCTTAGTCCGCCTCTTCCTCGTTAGCGGTTGTGAGGATTGTAGTACTAGGTGTGTGACTGTGTCAAGAGCTCAAGTCAAGCCCTGTGCCATCAGCGCAGCTCGCCTGTAAGAACGGTTTCGTTTGAATACATGAGTTAGCTGAGTTTTTAAGGTGTTTTTTAGTGAGTTGTTGGTGTTGTGCACCAAAAAAAAGTTTTTTTTTAATCTCGATGTGTGGGAAAAAAGGACTTCGGCACAGGAGATACCAGAGAATATTCGATTTTGCTATAAATAAATAAATACCTGAAACATACATACATACGTGTACATACATATATATATTCTCTACATGCACATTTCAGCATTTCTTCATATGCAAAATACTGAAATAAATTTAACTAAAGCTTATTGCATTACTAGAGCTTCTGCTCCCTTTCAAGTGGCTGCTTGGTTAGCCCGAAGCGCTATCGGCGCAGGGGTGTGTGTGTGTGTGTGTGTGTGCTCGAAACTTACCTCTAAATTACAATGCCGCAAGCATGTAACAGTAACATTTTCAATATTTTCAGCAGCAAAAAATCTGTCTTTTCCTCCCCCCACATGCTCCCACACAGAATCTGCTGCGCTCAGGTGTGTTGTGGCATTGAGAGTGTTTTTTGTCGACAACGTTGCTTGTTCGCCGTGACTTTCGTTATTCTCTCCGACAGTTGCAACTTCATTTGTCATTGGAGATTCATTAGATTTGCACATATCACAGTTAACCAACAAAAGTAGCAAGAACAAGAGCCAATGGTTTCTATATGCGTACATTGTTGTTGGTGTTGTTGTTGTTGTTGTTGTTGTTGTTGTCGTTGTTGTTGGTAACGGAATTTTGGCGAATATTTTATTATTATTATTATTAGTTTCAAATGCGCTGACTAGTGTATCCCAGCGAGTGGTTGTTGTTGTAGTTGTTGTTGTTGTCATATGTGGTTGCGGCGTTGATGCTGCATCATTCGAATTAATTTTTAATTGCCCTTGCGTCATGTTAAGAGCACGCGCGCGTGTGTGTGTGTGTGTGTGTGTGTGTGTGTGTGTGCTTATGCTCTTCTTGTTGACGCCACAGCCACCTCCTTCGTATGGCAGCGTTTCGCTTTACGCTTATTTATTTATGTACATACGTACATACATACATATGTATATACGAGTGCGAGCTCATACAGGTCACACGCAGTGTCCACAACACATTTATATATATTTACATACACACATACATATATTTGTAGTTACCTACGACCTTATTTATAAGAATATATTCATATAAACATATATATGTATGTACATGTGTTAATTTGCACCGTTGCACAAAGGATTCGCCGCAGGCGTGTATCAAATTCGTATTTGAAATCTTGAAATATTCGGTAGTTACCAGCGCGCTGTCTTTAATTGTTTTCTTCTTTATCACTTGTGCCACTACTGTCTATACATAAACACATATGTATGCACATACAAACGAGTATGTATTTCTTTATTCAATTCATTTTTTATGTCATCAATTAAGTTTTATTAATTTATACTTGGAAAATACACATACATGTGTACATATGTATATGTATGTATATGCCTAATTTGGCGCACGTTCGCAGTAGATAGCGATTTTTATGTGTGTATACATGTATTTGTGGTTAACAAAAGTTATATTTATAAAAATTAGTTTTTGGTCCGAATTTGACTAGATCGATTTATTCAAATAATTTTTGTGGTTTTTCACGAGAACCGGTTATTTGGCAAACGGGTATTTGTTTCGTTTATTTTTTGTTTATTTATTATTTTTGTTTGCTCTTGATAAAATTTATATTAAATATATATTATTACATTTTTTAATATTAATATGCTTAATTTTTCAATTTCTTTTCATTTTTAAACTTTTTAAAGAATTTTAATTTTTTATTTTTTTAGTTTTTTTTTTACCTCAATTTTTATTTTAATTTTTAATTTTTTTTTACTTTTAATTTTTTTTTAACTTTTAATTTCGATTTATTTTTATTTTTTATCAATTTTTAGCACTTTGTTTACAATTTTTATTTTTTTTTTTTTTTCAAATTTTTTCATTACATTTTTGTTGCAGCTGGACCAGATTAATTAATGCATCTTCGTTAATCGTAGATTTAATGCTCTGATTTTTATTTTTCCCATTATATTTTACACTTTCTCTTAAATCTCATTAAGTTGCATGTATGTATGTATGTATGTAAAACCACTGTGTTGTGTTTTTAATTGTTTGCTTGTCTGACGTTTTTTAATAAATTAAAATTTTATACACAGCTTGCATATTTGATTTGCACATGTGCACATATTAATATACATAGTATACATATGTATGTTTGTAAAACTCGCAAATGATGCACATTAAACATTTATATGTACATGTTTGTACATACATATATAAATATTGAACTTTCATATCGTTTTAATAGAATAAACGTTAAACAAAATGCGCGTATTGTCGATTTTTAGTTTATTTTTTATTATTATTTTTACTTTTATTTTTTATTTTACATATTCGCTTGCCGTACGAACATCAACGCCCGATAGCTACAGGTTGTAGCTCTTGTGGTGTTCTCTCCAGAGCCACGCTCAAATCAGAACTGATCGCTCCAAACGAGCTCAACTCTTACTTGTAGTTTGACTATGAACATATGTACATATATTCGTCAACAGCGAGCTTTTCGATACAAACATGAATATACAAAAACATGCATACATGTATACATATGTATGTATGTGCGTGTGCACGTGAGTTTTTAGATAATTATTATGGTAATTAGTTTTGAAGTATATAATTGATTATTAGTTGAAGAGAATTTTTTTTAATAAAACTGTGTTTTGTTTTTAATAAAAATATGACTCTGTGTAAACATATGTACGTATGAATATAGTTAACCAATAATCAAAATTAAATAAATTAAATCAAATTACACTAAATTAAATAAAGTAAAATAAGAGAAAAAATAAAATAAAATAAAATAAAATAAAATAAAATAAAATAAAATAAAATAAAATAAAATAAAAAGGAAAAAAATAAAATGAAACAAATTAAATTAAATAATACTAAATTAGCTTAAATCAAATTAAATTAAATTAGAATGAATGATTTAGCTGTCGAAGAAATAGCTTCAAGAGAAGCCTTGGAAAAACGATTGTCAAAATTTTTGCTTGCCAACAGGGATAAGGAAATCTATGAAAGAGACATATTGACATTACCTTCCAAATGGCACAAAGTTATCCAGTGAAACGGTGTATATTTGACATAAAACAGATAATTGTAATTATGTTTAATAAAATCTTAAATTTTATGCAAAAATAATGCATAACTTTTTACTAAATATCTATAACCAAAGAAAAAGGGATATCGAACGAATAGAATACTCATTTTGTTATAAAACTAAACTAGTTACCTTTTAGACCATACTAAACTAGTATGGGACTAGTATATTTTTGAAAAAAGAGATATATTTATTAGCCGAGAAAAATACACTGTGTCTAAAATATTAATTTTTTTGGTATGAAAATGAAATATTTGACAAACTACGTTGCCACACTAGTTCATATGGCAGTAGTTATATTTGTACATATGTATAAATAAATACAATATGTATTTATTGAAGAAAAGCGAAACAGACATGAAGTGGCACACAATTTCCGGTTTCGTAAGAAATATATAGGTATGTACATATGTACGTATATATGTCATACGTATGCGGAGGATACTTTACTGTTGCCTTTGTCAATCAATATTTTGATTGAAAAGATGCTTTCAAGCAGAAATAAGACTGGATTCTTTTCATCAAATTCCTCTTAGGATTTCGTTGAAAATTGGAAAATTTATTTTTTTAATGGTAAATCGAGCAAACACATTTAATTAGCTCACATAACAAAACATAAAACTTACGCTTGATTGTTGTGATAAAAAAAAACTATATATGTACATATGTATATATTTCTTCCTTTTCCATTTACAGCTATTGCATAGAATTCGAAGTGATTAATGCGGCCAGGGATTGCCTCAAAATACCGCCGTACGATTTTCTGGCAGAAGGTAAGTTTTTGCAAAAAAAAAAAAACAACAAAAAAGTAATTTTTCTTTATACATATCTACATGTATTGTACATAAATATATATTTAAATTTAATTTTTCAGGCGATCGCGTCACCGTACATTGCAACGTGCGGAAAACACACAATCAGCCAAGAACGCGTGGTCACCTTACCAATACAACTACGAAAAATCAATTAATAGATTTCAAATTAGAAAGTTCTACATTTGAAAGTGATGATTTGGAAAAATCGCCCATCACACATGCAAGCGCAACAAATCACAACAATAAAATGAACATTGCAATGGCAACACATTGCCGCGGCGAAGGCGCACCGGGCAGGACCACGCGTTGGCGGTCATTAGCCGTGACGTCCTGCCAAGGCAAATGGCTGCGGCTCACTTTGGGTGCGGGCAAGAAGTGCACACAGGCACAATTCAAATTTGTTTAATATACAATATATATTATATATAACTAACGGTTATTATTTATATAATAGTTTTTCGAAAAAAAAAAAAAAACAGAAAAAAAACAAGCAAAAATTACAAAAATAAATTTGTAGTCTAAAATGTTTAATTAAAAATTTTAGAAATGTAACGTTAACAGGCAATATCATTCTTCAATATTTATTATCAGATACTATACTCGCACGTACGTACATATTATACATACATACATACATATATCTATTGAATAAATGGTAATTTAGACTTTCAAACAGGAATTGATAACTGTTAAACATACATACATATGTAATATTTTTAAAGTTAAAACTCGCGCGGAATTTCATCACATACATATTTAACATGCATACATACATACATATTTGTGTAGATAACCCCTTACAACTTGCCAAAGAAAGCAATCACCATAAATTGTTTAAAAAAAAAACAAAAATAAAAATAAAAATGAAAAATATACATATAAATCATGGCACAATTAGTATATATGTATAATATATTTTTATTAATAGGACAACAAACATACATACGAAAAATCTAAACTCTCTTAAGTTATTAGTAAATGAACTTGTAGTTGAAAGAAAAAAGTATGTAGTAGTAAGTGTGATTTGAAAATGTATTCATAGCTACATAAATATGCACTAAAGTAAGAAAAAAAAAAATTATTTAATTTTATTTTTAATTATTGTACCAATGAATTACACCAAAATAAATGAAATGAAAATAAAATTTCTATTTTCCTTCATTATTAAAACAGAATATTGTATATTTGTTTTTTTATATAATTTATTTATTTTTTAATGTTTATTTATTTCTTAATATTTATTTTTTTGAATATTAATTTTTTACTAATTTTTTTCTATTATTATTATATATATATTACTATTATTATATATACATATATTATATTATTTTTTAATATTTTTTTTTAATATTATATTTTTTTTTTGATTACTAATTTTTTTAATAATTTTTTTCTATTTATTGTACTAACGAATCTCACCAAAATAAATGAAATGAAAATGAAATTTCTATTTTCCCTTCATTATTAAAACAAAATATTGTATATTTTTTTGTTATATAATTTATTTATTTCTTAATGTTTATTTATTTCTTAATATTTATTTTTTTTTGAATATTAATTTTTTTACTACTTTTTTCTATTATTATATATATATATATATTATTATTATATATACATTTATTATATTATTTTTTAGTATTTATTTTTTTTAATAGTATGTTTTTTTGATTACTAATTTTTTTAATAATTTTTTTCTATTTATTGTACTAACGAATTACACCAAAATAAATGAAATGAAAATTAAATTTCTTTTTTCCTCCATCATTAAAAAAAATTGTAAAAAACAAATAACTAATTATTTGTTTTTATATTCTTTATTTATTTTTATATTATATATTTATTTTTAATATAAATTTTTTTGAATATTTTTTTTTATAAATTTTTTTTAAATTTTTTTGGTTATTATTTTTCTTATATATTTTTCAAAAATATACATTTCTTAAAGCCTTTATTACAAACACAAAATATACACTAAAATACATACTTAAGTACTTCCAAAATCAGTCTCTACGTATTTATAAAAATATATACATACATACATACATACAAATACATAATTTACAGATTTAATAGAAAATTTGAAATCATTTGTTGTCAAGTTTCCCATATTGGAACGAAATAAAAAAAAAACTTAGTTAAGAAAATAAAAATTATTGTTTTAATGCAGCTTTTGGGTAAGTATTTTTTTTTTTATAAAAAAAGAAGAGTTAAAAAAAAAAACTACAAATAATAACGGTTAATAACCAACATACAGCTGGGTTGTGTATAAAATAAGACCCATTATTGTGAATGAAGAGTACGAAAAAATCCAGCAACTTCAAGAAACTGCAAATCAAGTCAAAAGTTCTTTAATTTATGAATAAAAAAGTTTTAAAAATCCAGCGGGCAGCAAAAAATAGGAGCTTTCGTTTAATTTATTTGTAAAAAAATCGATTTAACTCTTTTTTAAATTAATTGATTAATATTACAGATTTATAGAAAAATTTCAGTTTATTATTTAATGCCAATAAAAGCGTGATTTTCTAAAAATTAAAAAATAATAAATAAATACCCAAAAAAAAAATAAAAAAATCGCGAACCGACTTGCAAAAGAACACCATGTCGCTTGTTGAACTACCTTGCACATGCCAAGTAATAAGGAAATAAGCGATTTGAATTTTTTTAAGCGACTCTCACAATAGCTATAATGGGTACAAAATAAAAACCAGCAGTAATACAAATAAATATTATGTAAAATATTCAAAGAATTTCAACGAAGCAAAAAATTAAGCGGAATTTTTTCAATTAAAAAAATTTTTAAAAAAATATTCCGACACAGATAATTTAAAAACATAATTTCTTTTCCAATAGTTAACAAAAGTAAAAAAAAAATTAATTAAAATGTTCTTTTTTGTTTGCCTTAACAAAAGCATGCAGCTAAAAAAGTTTTATAAATACCAACTGACAGTTATTCGCCATAAACATATTGAAATATACGCACACATATCATACAATATATATGCTCATCCACAGGTAACAAAAAAAAAAATAAACAATTAATTTTATTATAACTTTTTTTCTACCGTTTAAATTGCGTTCATTCCTGCGGTTATGGGCACATGTGCATTTCCGATTGATTAATGAATGGCTTTTGCTAAATCTTCAGACTTGCGGCGTAAAAAAGGGTAAGAATGCACACATGTGACCCAAAAGGATTGGCGCACACAACTAAATTCGCTTTAAAATGGAAGAGTAAAGTGTGTTTGAAAGTTTGAAGAGCTAATATATGGGTGATGCGCTGGTTTTGAAACTAAAATTCAATAAACTGATTACAAAAGTATGTATAGCAATATGGGCGTACTTACATATATATGTATATATGGATATTCATACATAATGGCAATATTTTTTTTTTGTTTTTTCTTAATTCGTGAATACCTTCCTGACAAGCATTTTTATTATCATACATTTTAAGCACGCAGTAGAATAATACCAACAAAAATAATAGATATATCAATAACAATAAAATAAAAAAATAGAGAAATACAAAAATCAAAAATTTTCAAAATTAAAACCACCTAAAATAAAAAAAAAATAAATAAAAATAAATAAATAATAACTTAATAATAAAAAATTATATTAACAGAAAAATAATAAAATATAATAATATAAAAAAATATATATATATATATATATATATATATATATAAAGATTTAAAAAAATATAATGACAATAATAATAATCATAATGATAATATGTGAGGTATTAAAAAAAATTATAATATTCGAACGGCATCCAGCGAAATCGGGCACGAACTTATGCACTCATCCAATATTATAATAAAAAGTAAAAAAATATCGACAAAAATAGCAATAATAAATAAAGTAATAATTACAAATATAATAAGGAGAAAAATACTAACAAAAAAAAAAATAGATAATATAATAAAAATTTAAAAAAAAAAATAGTAAAATGAAGAAAAAAATAGAGAAGAATTAAAAATCAACTATAATAAAATGAAATAATAACTAAATAAACAAATTAAAGATGTCATAATAATGAAAAAAATGATAATAACAAAAAAAGTAATAAAAATAATAAAAATATATATGCAAAAAATTATAACAATAACAGTAATTACAAAAAAATAAGAAAAAATATAATACGAACTGAAAGAAAAATTAAACGAACAAAATAATAATCATAATTATCAAAAATACTAAAAACAAGAAATATATAGATATATATAGGGTGTCCCAAAATAAATGCTAGATTTTAATTGAACAGAAAAAATAGCTTTTAATATTCATATATATTATAAAACTAATAAGGAGAAAAATATAGAAAATAATAACCTAAAAATAATAGTAAAATAATTAAAAAAATAGAGAAGAAAAAAAACGCAACTATAATAAAACAAAATAATAACTAAAAAAAAACAAATTAAAGATATAATAAGATACAGTCTTTAACGCGACGGTTTTGCTTGTTGACATAGTCGGCAAGGTGAAAATGAGTCGCATCGTAGAAAATATAATTTTTACGTAAATATTTTCATCATCTGTCATCTGCTTTGAATTGAAAATATGACGAATGTCACTGCAAAAAAGCAATAGGTCTTCAAAAGGCACACGGTCACTGGCCTACCTTACATCCATGTACATTTAATATTGTTCAATTTACAATTTTTCTTTTTTTTTTTATTATTAAGAAACAATTAAATTTGACGTTTTCTTAGTACTTTTGCTAAAACTAAATTATTAAAAAAGTTATTACAATAAAAAAAATTGAATTTTCCCACCGTGACAATGCCACATTTAAGACATTGCCGTGACCAGGATTCGAACCTGGGTTACTACGGCCACAACGTAGGGTCCTAACCACTAGACGATCACGGCTACAGGGATGTTGTTTCATCTTGTGTCAAAAGTCACATTTGTGCTTAGCAAAATAAATTTTGTTTCCTTTTGTTATGCAGTACGTTCTCCCCTTTTCACCACTATTTTTGGTGAAGACAAAAATGAAGCGTTGCCAAACTCAGTTATTCAGTGAGACAGTGAATTCTTATACGTTCTTTGGTAAAAGTTGGGGGCCATCAGAAACATAGGGCGTCTGTTTTCTGCATTCACGCAAAGAACGTAACTGAATAAGAAGCGACATGACATGACTTGAATTCATATATGTACGTTCTTCAACTCGGGGATTTTGCAAAAAAAAAAAGAAATAGTCTCCGTTCTTACAAGAAGATTTTATTCAGCGATGAATCTTTTTTTGGTTGAATTGGCCTTTCGACTGGAATTTATTCAAGCCAGTCACGGCGGTCATTTTCCCAAAATCATGTTTGAAACATAATGGCAAACCCTTATCTATATAATAAAGCCCAAATCTTGCTAATAATAATATGTTTTAAGCGTTTAAAAACAAAGTGTCCAAAATATTCAACCCTTTGTCATATACGT